GAAGATTTCTTCTTGATGTACATGTATGTGTTTTTTCCCCATCAAATACATGTATTTCTCAATGTTTTTTGTGTTACACCTTAAGTGTACTTACCTCAATGTAATTTGCATATATTCATGATGGTGTCTTGTTTCTTTTGTTACCCGACCACACCCACCCCTGTTCCCCTTTTTTATTGGTCTTTTGTCCAGTTTGTGTATTGTCCTCCGGAGTTGTCGCCAGAACCTTCTCCTAAGGAACGGGTGAGAATTCAACCCTAGACTTCATTCCCGATGCTAACATATGCACCACCCCCCCAAAAAAAACCCAGCAAACGCAAGACCCCGACACTCACCCCCGCATGCAAGGCATCCAGAAAGCAATCTGAGTTGAAAGAAAGATGCTGTTAAAAGAAATTACCGGCAGAAATATGAAGCATCGTCAGCATCGTTCTGTATTTGAAGGAAAGATAAAAATGCATGGAGACCTTATTTGTACAATACTTTGCAGATTTGCATCAAGCTGCCATATCGAGTTGCTCTCGTGCATGGGATTGGTGGTTACAACGGGTACCCAGAAAGATGGAGGGCCAAAATTGGTCTGGTAGCCACTTTGGACGGGTGGCTACTATCACCGCTGTAGCCTGAAATGTGCCAGTGGCCATACTGACGGACGAGGTTGTTCATGCAGGTGCTGGCGCATCTTTGGCTACCAGCAGAGAGCATGTCATCAACTGCCTAACCTTGGCATTTTAATCAAGGCTGCTTAACTTTTTATTTTTATCAGCACAGTTCAGCCTCGCAAGATCGTCATGTTGCAGTAGGCTCCATGCATAAACTGCAGTTCACGCAGCATTGTCGCTGAACATCAACGCTGCAGACCTGTTTGTTTCGCACAGATCTGGATCTTGATCACTGATCCCATTGCTGACGACGGACAGAGCACACTGTCCGAGACGTCGAGTGAACCAGCTACTTCCAGAACCACTTACACACACTGACAAAAGAGAGAGTTCAAGCTACATGGTGTCACTGCATACCACTTGCCTTACCAGGGGCCGCGTTCCTGCCGCCTGGAAAAGTCATTGAAAGTCATGGAAATTTGTTTTTCCTTTTTCATGCCTGGAAAGTCATGGAATTTTGTAAAAATGACTAAAATCATGGAAAAGTCATGGAATTTTGTCTGTGTGATTTCGATTATCAGAAGTAAGCGCATAAAATCTGTGTTTGTATTTGCAACCTAAAAGGCTGAATAGTCTAAGAAATTGTGGTAATTGGTTTTCGATTTTCATAATTTGGTCATGGAAAAGTCATGGAATTTAATTGTCCCTTAGGTGCAGGAACCCTGCTTACGAATACCCACCATGCAAACCTTCCGATCTTATCCAATTGCTGGTTCACTCTATCAGTTAGGTGGGCTCTGGTGTCAGTGAACCAACGACAGATCACTGATCGCGATCCGGATCCATGTGAAGCGAACAGGCCCGAGATTCCCAACTGGGGCACATGTATGCATACGTATGTGCTTGGATGACTAGTGTGCTCAGTTCTATCACCAATCTGCCGTTATGTAACGAGTTTGCCTTTCTGCACCAATAGCCATTGTCAAGCATGAGAGATCAGTGCATCACTGTTGCAAGTTGCCATCTTCATGTACATGTAATAAGCCTTTTGGGAGTTAAATTTGAGTACAATCTAGTACACTGAGTTATCTGATTGCACGTAAACATAACAATTTAAATTCCCCAGACTAAAGACACTGTTGCTATACCTCGTGATTTTGGGGCAAGCTTTTGCACAGTGACCAGCTATGCTAAAGCTTGCCAGCTTCTTATACCATTGAGAACAATGTATTGTTGCAAGGCGTCTCTTACATGTACGTGTATGTAACTATTTGCCCCAAATCACCCAGTACACTTGTAGCAACAGTGTCATTAGTATGGAGAATTCAAATTGTTATGTTCACTTGAATTTAAAGAACTTGTACGAGATTTATTCAAATGTAACTAGCAAAAGGCTTATCGCCCGATGGAAAGACCAGCATCATGGCTCTGTCTTTGTCACTCATTGGAAGAATGCAAAATGACAATGGACATGTAAACGAGGGGGTAACTTAAAGGTTTGCCCAGAGGTGCATGTGCACTACCTCACAGTACCCTGTAAAACCTCATAAAACCTTGAGGTAAGCTTCAAGTGGTTGAATTTCGCATTCTCCCCGTTAGGGATTTACATGTACATGTAGTTAGAAACGACATTCCAGATTTTGTTGGCTTAAATAAATACTGTCTTTAAATCCACAAGAATGTGCCCTGATGTGAGCCAGTGGTTGTCAGAACTTTATCAGGTGTGCCTCAGGTACAATGTAGAGTGAACTTTTCAAGACATTTCTAAATTCTGTTCTGAAGATTTACATGTACATGTACATACTGTGAGTAGTGTCTTTTTCATGTACAAGGACACGAAATAAAGAGATGGCAGTTTGCAGTGCTGATGTGAATGATGGTTTTTAAATTCCAAACGACAGTGGGATTCAGTGTTAATCAGAAGGCAAGTGGCTGGATTGCATTATATTGCATTAAGTGTTTACTGTGAGCATGTAGAAAAGTTAATGACATTATTTCATGGCAAATACTTTTATTTGATTCTTGAGAGTTTGTTATACATTGAAGTGATATTTGTGAAAAATACCTTCTAGCTGTTTACTAAGCAATGTGTGGGAAAAAGGCTTATTTTTAGGTATTTTACAGAGTTTGAGGCACTTTATTGAGCATACAAAAGAGCAAAATCTGCAGTCTGCGTGCTTTGTACTTTGCAATTGATTACTTCTCGTGCAGTTTATTACACAGCATCGGTTATTTTTATTATTTTTTGCATTGGCACTCATTATGCTGAATACAACATGAACAAAGCTTTGGCCCATAATCCTGCATTGTACAACACTGGGAAAGAAACTTAAAGAATTAAGAGAAGGGCTCTGTGGGTGGCATAACTGTTTCTTGAATGATGAAATGTTCAGCTTCAAGACGAGATACTCTTTTGGCATTGAATTACACCAAGGGGCAACATCAAGCCCATCCATAATTTGACCATTGTTCATTTGCTTTTTACCAATGCACATGTGCAGCATCATCCCACTTAAAATGATCCTAGTTGAACGTTATTTTTTAATCTTCTCGTCACTCACATTTTTTGTTGGTTGTCACTCCCTCCTGCATTCACACTCTGCCTTCTAGTGCAGTTGTTTTCAGGTCAGTGTAGTTCACTGTGTACCTGATTACAGAAAAAGCTTGTTGATAACCATCAACCATGCTCCAGAGCCTGGGGCCAATTTCATAGAGCTGCTTAAGCACAGAATTTACTTAAGCATGAAAAAACCTTGCTTGACAAATCAGGTTACCAGCCAAAATTCCATGTGATTTATATTGGTTTGGAACGGTACTCGCCTGTCTTTTGGTTAGCCTGACAATCACATAGATTTTAAGCAGGTAACCTTTATTTTTTAAGCAAGATTTTTTTGTGCTTACTGAGCAGATTTTGTGCTTAAGCAGCTCCGTGAAATTGGCCCCTGGTTCCAATAGTGGTTGATTAGATAGTTCTACCATCCATTGTTCAAGTGACATTGGTCAAACTAGCTAAATGTAGTCATCGCCTGAACTTGCGCCAGGCCCACACACGCCTGGCTCAGCCTCTGGAAATATGTTGTTTTTCTAAAGTTTAAAATGTTCACACGTGGGCACACATTTGTAATTGGTCACAATTTGTCCTTCCTGTAGTTCCTTTTCCCCGGAGATCGAGGCTGGGAGGCCGATGAAAGGGTGAGGACCTGATACAGTTACCCTCTCCTTCCCAACTCCCTTCCCCTCCCCACCCACTCTTAATGGGCTCTGTGCATTGCTATAGAGGGCGCTGTAGCTCAGTGACAGAGCCATGTCCACAAGTTATACGTGTACTTGGCCACAGCTTGAATGTACAAGTCTGAGGGAAAATGGATGAGGCTACTAGCCAGATGTGTCCTTAAATGGACTCGCGTGCGGTCTACAGCCACAGCCAAGTAATTTGGGACTTTGTCGTGAGAGTGAAGCAGTCTGGTACCCAATCCTTCCAGTGTATTGTGGAGCCCAAAAGGAGGGGTCAGGACCAAGTCCAGAAGAGAGCCCTCACTTGTCACAAATAAGCCAGATGGGGAATGAAACATAGATACAGTATAATGTAAACAAAATTCACAGTTTTGATATTGAGTGCACAGAGTCCAAACCCCTTCCTTTATTCCTTTCCTCATGAAACCAACACATCTTGCCTATTCTTATACAGCAGAAATCAGGTTTAATTGGTTGTTTATGTACACAAATATCAACGGGAATGCACACTTTGGAGTATTGAAGAAATACCTTTGCATTGAAACGAATCCCCTTTGAGGCGGTGCAGGTATACGTGCATGAGAGTTCTGATAGGGCTGTAGTCTGGGATGATTTACCTCTACAAAGTTCTCTGAATGTCCGTCGGCATTTTGCTACTGAATGATAAGGGCAGAATGTACTTAAGGCTCAATCCACAGTGTGTAGTCAAGTACTTTTGGAGGACCAGGTTCTCTGCCAAATGTTGAACTGATTGTAAGGAGAGAATCAAGCTGAAGCATATGGGCATTGGAGAGTACAATGTACATGTACAATGCACAAAGGTAAGATTACTATTCAAAGGGATGACCTCAGACCGCCACTGGGCAATCAAAGTTAAGTTTCTTTGTGAAGAAGTACTTGAAAAGTACACTGTACTCGGCCAAGTACTTTTCTCCTTAAACAATTCAACAAAAAGGAGAGTGTCTGAAGTCGTAAATTTACATGTACATTGTAATCTGAGACCTTTGTGCATTAACCATCAAATATCCATTGTTCTAGAGCTTTGTTCCTTCTCAACCAGTTCAATATTTGGCAGTGAGTTGATACTCAAAAAGTACTTGACTACAACATTGTCGATCGGTGCATCAGTGGCAGACCACAAATTCTTATTAAGCTTCGTTTTCTCCTTTTACCCTTCAGAAAGTTTCCAGGTTTCTCTTTGCATTAGCTCTGATGTACCTGTACAGCCTAGTGGTGCAGTGTTCCAGATAGCTCATCCCTAATTGGCTGTGATTTGCCAGATTTCTGCTGTGTAGTTCCAAACTTTAGGTCCATACAAATCTTTTGCTTTAAATTCTTCAGACTCTGTTGGATATCCCGTATATTCTGTGCATAAAACATGGAGACTGGCATGTCATAAAGGCCAGTCTGCTGGAATTCCGCAAACTTTTCGTTCAGAAGGAAATGGCGCAAAGTCTCGATTTTTCTGTGCAAGATGTCTAAGCGTGTAACAAAGTCAGACAAAGTTCTGTAGGCTTCTGTAGAATGTCAACCAGGCTTTTGCAGGTAATCACACTTCAGGAACTGTGCAGGCATAATCGACTGGTTCCAGGTTTTGTGCCCATAATATCAATAGTGCTTGAAATCTGCGTACTCTGTGGAACATTTGAAATGGATTTGTTGGAAGTCAGTAGCCTGCCCTACTTGTAGGATTTTTTTAAAGTGCCTTTCGAAATCTGATCATTAACAATCGGCCATTCGATACCCGAGGACTGCCAATGGCTTTTGAAAGAGAAAGACAGTTTCTGTGTTTCTGTTAATGCATACTGACTGCCTGAAGTTCAATGTAAGCACACCATCCAGTGGCATATTTATGAATAGTTTGTATATCTCTGCATTGCATGAAAATCTGTATTCAGATTCAAATAACTTGTCAGGTGGATTTAAGCGAATGCATAGTTCTCTCCGTGTTTTAAGGATCTGTGCATTTTGCTTCCATCTGTAGCAGCACTGCTATGGAGACTGATATTGTGTAACCCTTCTGTTATGAAGCATGACAAAAATGGGTAGCATGAGTGTAATGAGGGAGCGTCGCGTAGCTTGGAATGTTTGTGTTCCTATCAAACTTACACTCTACGTTCCTCTCGTAGACCTACCGGTATGTAATTACTAGAGCGCTGATTTGCTGTGCAAAGTGAAGTCTGCCGGGCGAATCCATGTTTATGCACAAGCCTATGGAAATCTTCAAATTTTAGGCAGCTTTGTAATGGCACAATTAGTAAGCCAGCATTTAGTTTTGCTCATTGTGAGCAACACAAACATGCATGTATATATACCCTGCAGATACTAAATCCAATAACAGAAATGGACCATACGTTATTTGCAGCATTGTACTTGCCTTTGCACTGTATACCAGTAGAGTACACAATTTGGAATTTGTTCCATCGTACTTTAATAATGTTAAACAAATATGGACATAAATTCAAAACGACTGCACCCAGGAGCTTCTCCACTCTGGGAATGAAGAGTTATGGCTCTAGTGATTTATAATAGCACTCTGGCTCCAATACCTACCGGTAGAGTAATTCAAGGAGATTATGCATATCTGGAATGGTACCACTCTGGTGTGTATTCTTTAACTCGGATGTGTACTGCACTACCTCTTGCATTTGGGTCATTCCATGAGGTTGGGGCACAATTTGTGACGGTGTCCATTGTTACATGCGTTCCGTAAAAATGAACAGCTATTTCCCTGCATGTGGATTCCAAATTGGCATTGGTACATGTATACATCTTGCAAGGCTGAATACAGAGGTGTGTGTTATTTTTCCAGAGTAAATGACCTTCTCTAAAGGTCATGACAGGAAGTAAAAGTTACCCATGTGGCAAGGACACGGCCACAAATTGTGTCCCAACCTCATGGAATGACTCATTTGAGAGTAGTGCCACTATAACAATGATGACTTCCGATTCTGGTCACCAGGTTTGGACTTTAAGGCATTGTCCCCTTTGGAATAAGCAGTATGGAGGGTCTGCACGGCTGCCTGGTGCTTTTGTTCCACAGGATATGCACAAAGGAGGTTTCTCTATGGAACAAAAGAACTGCCCTGCAAGATGGCTTCCATGCAAAGCCTCTATACTAAAAAGCTGTTCTCAATTTTGAGAAAGTTGAGAAAACATGTGTGGACATGTTGTTTTTGTACTGCCAGGGCACCTGGTTTTTGGCAGGTGGTTACAGGGTGAGATTACGATTAACGCAGGCAGTGCACCGAGGACCAGTACAATGTATTCTGGGGTTTTTTGAGATGCTCCCTGAAGAGATGGAAAGATGGAAATCTTACTGAAGGAAATAATAGAAATGGCAGGTCCAGCTTTGTGAGGATTTCACTTTAAGGGTCGGGAATGTGAAAACATGGGCACATCCCTCAACTAAACCTGTTCATGTCCATGTAGGTGATACAGTACACCTGCATGTTATACTTGCTGGATAGCTAGGTGGCTGGCAGGCTGGTCTGTGGTCTGCTTGGTGGCTGGTTGGCCAACAAGCTGGCTTGCTGGCTTCATGATCGGTTCCTAACTGGACTTCCAAGTTGGCTTTGTAGCTGTGTGTCTGACTGGTGACACATATTCCCCCTTGAGTTGCAGGTTAGCTGGCTGGCCAGAAAATGAGATGGCTGGTTGACTGATTGATCAATAGGCTGCTTGTAATGAATGGCTGACTAAAATGGCCCAGTGTACATGTAGGTTGACCAGCCAGTGCTCTCGCTGGCCTGCTGGCTTACTATCCTGCTGACTTGCTGGCTTGCTGGCTCTCATTTAACTTGAGTGTTAGGGTTTGGTGGTTGATCGCTCCACCAATGAGCTGCTAGTTGGCAGCTGAGCTAACAGAACAGAATTTATATGCTATAGCAGAATTTGTATGCCGTTGTAGGATTGTTGGTAGGATGGGTGCTTGAACTCTTGCTTGATTTCTTGCATCATTGCTTGCTTCTAAATACCATGTGTCTGAGTCTTTTTGTCACTGTAGCGTTGGTTACTGCTTGCTGCTTGTGTTTCCCTGCTTACTCGTTTCTATTTTCCACCTTCATACTACGTTTTGTGGATGTCATGTACCCGCGTGTCTGTCTCCCTTTCACTCTGCAATGTTTTCATCTCACCATATCCTCATGTATCACGTTTTGAATGGTACACCTCTCAGCACGAAGGGCCAAGGGTGTTTATGCAGAGATTGCCTGACCAAGTTGCCGACTGATAAGACCATTTGTCCACGGCTGCTTGAGTCTCGCTGGTGCGATCTTCCCTGTCGTACGCACTCTCATTCTTGCAGGTTGAGCTCGACGCTGATAAATTCAAAAACTGTACCCCTCATGTGTCTGCCTGTGTCCGTTCTTCCTGCAGTTCCTGTTCATGGAGCCTGCTGACCAGGTATGGATGGACACCAGCGGGTACAAGCCCCGACAGCAGGCCTCTCCCACCAAGCGGGTGGAGACACAGCGTACCGTGGCCCCCGATGGCACCATCATCACCACGGTGACCACTACCACTGCCCGACCCAAGCAGATACCCGACCGGCGGGGACTGGGCAACGGTGAGGGACAAGACCCCCCCCCGGGCCCTGGAAGCCCAGGCAGCCCAGGCAACATGATATTTACAATGAGTTGGTGTTTCAATAGTACCCCACCTCAAACATGTTTAGAGTCAGGGTACAGCCACACTGATAAGGCCGGCCTCACAAGTGTGTATTGGTGTTCTTGAATGACCGACGACGCATTTCATTTTGCTCATGTGCTGTTGAAATAATGAAGTGGCTCCTTAACATGAACCCCTTGCCACCTGTTATGCATTTTGTCAGGCCAGGTATAAAGACAGTTTCTTGTCTGGGTTTTTGTTTTATCAATGAAGAGGTGGTTATTTAAAAAAGTCCTAGTTTGGACTCTTAAGACGTTTGTCTCTAACCGTAATTAGCCATCATGCCATGTAACTGGTTTTAACATCTGCATTTGTACATGTAGATGTACATTCAAACAGCACATGCTCAGCACCTCCCACCTCAAGTGCGCAGAAACCTATGCACGCATGCCGTGAGTTCCCTCTAAGTGACTGTCGTTACTGTGTAAAAGCACACCCTCGCTTGTTCCTGCTCGGAGCGGATGCATGACTGCGACCAGCCCTGCAGAGTTGGGCCAAGCCTGACACTTTAATCCGTCAGGTTCCCTTTGGATAGACACCTCCAGATTGGGTGTACACATCTACTGTGACTAGTTTACATATGAGGGGTGTGCTCCCATGGGTTTTTACAGAATCTAGGCACAATCCATAACACTGGGGTGCCTGCCTTCTAAACTTGAACGGACTAACAATGATCCAGTTAAAGTACATAATATCCTCCCTCCTGACTTTTCTGACCTGCATCTGAGTAACAAAACAGAAATGGCTATCAGAAACCGAGCTTGTAAGTTCATGCACTTTCCCTTGTTGGGAATGAGGCCGTGTGTTCAAATGCCCCACGATTTTCGTCACTTGAGTAGAAACTTCAAAAATTGAAAATGCCAAAACTTTCAATGCTACCCCTCTCAGAAATGCCGACCAGGGTCCTGACAACATCCTCAGTACTCCCAGAGCCCCAGATGGCTACCTTCACTGCTGCCCCGCCAGCCAACATGGTGGAAATACCGGCAGAGCAGCGACACAGTAACAGCTCAACCATGACTGATCCAGGTAAAGGTCAAAGGTCAATGAGCAAAGTGACTCCCCCTCTCTCTCTCCCCCGTCACACCTCAAAGTGGCTGTGTAGAAAGTAAAATGGAAGCCAGTCTGGGTTCACTCCACTAATACACTGTATGTGATCTGCTCTGTGAAAATGAGTCACGTCTCAAGAGCCGCTCTTGAGTTAAAAGCATCTGAAAGAATCTTGCTCAGTGTTTAAGAAATATAAATCCTTAATATTTTACCATCTATGCAACGTGCATTTTCATTGTGCCAAACTGAGTGGCATATCAAAAGAAAGAGTTCAAATTCCTCAAAGTAAAACTCAAAAGTAGCTCCGGAGACTTGTGACTCATTTTTACGGAGCGGGTCACATATTTGTCAGTGGTTTTTAGCATGCATACAGCTCAGAGCACTGACTTCTCTATACCGACTTGATAGCTTGCGCAGTCATTGCTGTGTACAAATCAATGAGGCTTTCGAGACTCCATTTTTTTGGAAGGGGCCTCCAAAGATTGTAGTCATCTGTTCGATGTAACATAGCGGGTTATTCTTGTTTGTTAGAGTTCAAAGGTTTTTTTTTTTAGTATTGCATGATGATGTATAATTTATGTGTTGAAGATATGAGAGATGTTTACGTTATTACCCTTGGCGTAAATATAAAACCCTCGGTCCACACACAACGGCCTTTTACAGACATGACATGAGAGCCCCACCGTGACTCTGATCTCACGCCTCTTAGTTGGTATCCAAAACACGTGCATGAAAACTTTTAGACTTCAGAGGTGTCAGTGCGCTATCATGACTTCCAGCCATCGGTAGCGATCCAGTCTGGAAAAAAGAGAGGAGTGACACAGACTTGTGGTCAAAGCCACCATGTTCACCTAGTCAGACTGTGGGCCTAATCGCATGTCTGACCGTGCAACAGGGGATAAACAGTGACAAAGGAATGCCTTTTTAGCCACAATTCATTGAAAATAGGCTGTGACTTGCCATATAGGAAAGTATGACTAGTGCTTGATTCTAGAGGACTTGTACATGTTGTAAGGAGTTAGCCACAGTACCTACACGGCGCTTCTTAGGTATATGCAGTGATATTTGAATGTTAAAAGGCACATGTAATAATAACGTGCATACACCTGCCTTGTCAGTGCACTCGCTTCTCCATGTCAGACCTCAGTCAATCTCTGTTGATTTGCTTAATTCTGTTCAGCTCAGTTTATGGACAGCCTCAGTTAATGATGGACCACAGCTAATCTGGGTTAATGTCAGTAACATGTAATTTCAGTCGATTTTACTGAAATGCTGTGGACCTCGGTTTATGGACAGCCTCCATGGATTGGTGTATTTTCAGTTTATGTGTACCCGAGTTGAATTAACGAGAACACAGTTGACCTAGTTTATGGTTAGCCTCAGTTGATGGTGGACCACACAGTTACATTTGCAATCTGTTGCGGTTAACGTCGGTTGATTTTTGCAAGACTGAGCTGACCTGAATTGATGTTTACCGAGGAACTAACCCCTCCTGTTTGTTCTTGTGTTTGTTTTCCCTTGCTCTTCCCTGCAGTCAAGCCCAAGGTCACGATTAAGGTCAAAGGTCTGTGAGCATGCCCAGACAGCCTTCTCTCTCCTGCTTTGCCTCAGTCCTGTCAGTCCATTTTTCCTGTGTCCTTGTTCTAACATGTAGCCTGCATCATTCATTTTAGCCCACAGGTTTGTGGCAACATGAAAATGCAAATGAATAACAACAAGGCTAATTATTATTTGAAGGGAAGTGCCTTCCCTTCAAAAATGTCTCAGGGCTCTGTAAAATAAAACATAAACGTCTTCTTTAAGAGGTAATAATGAAACTTACAATTGTATTTCTCGTGGTTAAAATTTGTCATTTAAATGGGGTAAAGTTAGCATATATAAACGTTAAAAAATCTGAAAGTGGTTTGAATATTTTTTAATGACCCAAAAAAAACTAGGATTGAATTGACTGGTATAGTGAATTGATGTCGACGAGAAGCAGTTTTTAGCAAGATGTGTCAGAAGAGTCTTTTTTAAAAGCTCTTCTTGAGTTGATTCGTGGATATCGGCCAGCAAATTGTTCCAGAGAATTGGAGCCGAGTACAAGAAGGCACATTTGCAGTAATAAGTGCTGATAGTACATCCTGTCATTAGTGACGAGAGCTGGGTCGATAACGTGTAACTGTGTCGTTTAAGTCGATCGCTGCAGGCTCACTCTTGATTCAGTTTACAAGCTTTGTGTGGAATACGTTCTGCGGTGTGGTTTGATCCGCTGCCATGGATCAAGGGAGAGCACTTTCATGGCACTGAGTGTTGGGATGCTTCCCACTTATACAAGTAGTGCTGATCTCAAATGTCAGCAACGACCTCAACGACCTGTGAACTTCAGTCTACAGTGTACATGTATGTACCGTGCAGGCGTTTATTAGGCAACACATGTACATTATTACCGGTACATACTGCAGTATGGACGTTCAATTTTTCATGCTTATGCGTAGGTTTTGTCTTGATCCAACTGTCCTTGTGTTCCTGTTTCTGGTTTGCATTAGTCCCTCCAAGGCATCTTAATCTTAGCACAAGCCTAGGTACATGTACATGTTTCTGGAGGATGCCCCCATACTTGTGCCTGTGTACATTTTAGTCCTTCACACATTTCGGACTATTCTGTCGACTGTCATGATCTGACTGTGCTTGTATTTTCCCATTTTGGTATGGAAATAAATGTGAGTTTGACTGTTGAATATTTAATTGGTATTTAGTGCAGAACCTTAACAGGTGTAGGTTACAAGTAAACCCCATGAGACCGTATATTTCTTAGGTTATCATGATTGTTCCTCCCTTTTGCTGCCATTACGTAGTAGTGTGTTTGCTATATATCCTAACTAACTTCCAAATTTTTGGGTAATCACTTAGGACATACATATACATGTATTCTTACATCGCCTTTTCACGCAATCACATTATATCCATTTGAGCACTCATGATAGGAACATGGCATCAGTTTCATGGAAGTAGTCATTTGTATTCATTGATGAAGTACATGTATTGACCTCACAACTATTCATGCTTAGTGCCAAGTGATGCTGATCGCAGAAAGGCTTATAGTCCTTGCATACAGGAATGTTCACGTTTGTTCCTCATCTAATGAGTAGATAGAAGGGTTAGCCATACCGTAGCTTGAAATACGACCTGTTTTTTATGTAGCAACAGAGTTGCAATCAAGCTATGAGTCATTCATTGATTCTTTAGTCAACTCACTAGCAATTCAAATGTCCTGTGATAAAAGCATTCCTCGGTCATTGTTTATCTCTTCAGTTTTGACCTGATCTGTTAACTGACTTTCGACTGGACTGGTAGACTGACTTGCGATTGACTTGTGATGGACTCGATTCCAACTCAGTGGCAGACCTGAAGGAAGTTTGCTATACGTCGCGCGCTGACAGTTGCGGACATGTTGTCACTCCATCGCAGCCATTGTGAATGCTTACATTGCCCACGGGGGAAATCGTTTCAAATAATGTTCACTCATCCCCATATCCCACGACCATTATACTTCATGTGCTTGCGACTTTAATGTAAAGCGAGCTTTAAGGCACAGCAATGCCTATATTTCCTCCCTAAAATATCCATGAAGGAATCAGTCCAGCAAGAGTATCGGACACAAGCAAGCATGTGATTGTCTAATACTGAAAGTTGATTGTCTTCCTGAATATTCACATTCTCTTCATGCATATTAATATTCCTTTCCCATGTGAATGGCTATTAGAGATGCTGAGAGATTCAAGTGAGCAGGCGTTTGTTGTGAGTGAACAAATCAATTATTTCCCTTCCTTGAGGGTTGCTCATGGCAAGGGCACATTTGTTTTTTCTTAATGAGTATTACAATTTTGGAACAACTTCTGTACTCTTTTGTGATTGGTCGACAGAAATGATGATGGTTTCTGGTGGGCCGCACTCAGTGGCAGAGACCGCCATCAAGCACCTGTCAGAGACCTCCAAGGATGATCGGCCTCGGACACCAACCAAGAAGAGCACGCTCATCATCCACGGTGTGGCACAGGTGGGTCCGGCAGTTTCAGAACCTAATCCTCCCCGTAAATTAAAAATCTATAAAAGGAAAAGTTCGTCTTGGGTGCTCATGGACGCAAGTGAGGTCCTTAGGTTGTGAGAGTCTGGGCAAATTCGAGTGACGACCATTTCTCGACCGTTGGTTGATTTTCCCTGGTAACCTATGCACAAAATGCATTTCTATCACTGGTACCATGATATATTTTGTGCGTTTGGTGATCAATAGTCATTCAAACTTGCCCTTGATCACTCATTGCCTGATGTCTGCAAGGTCATCACTGGGCCAAATGAGTTAGTTCAGTATTTCCAAAAAGCAAGGTCATTAGGGAACAAAGGACGAGCATGCAGGGTTCGACCCTAATGCTGGTCCACTAGCCAAGTTCGAGTAAAAACTGCACCGGTCTAGCGAAAACCCTCATCTGGGTAGTCCGGCGGTCTAGTAAACAATATTCTGTAATAAGCGGCAAAATAGTTGATAGTGATGCATGCCCTCTAGCTGCTGCTGGAATTTTAACCCAATAAAACAGAACTTTTGCAACCAAGAATAGTGCGGTCCCTGGCACCAGCCCAGCAGAAGTAATGCTGAAGTCTATGAATGCAACGGCAGTAAATCGTCTGAAACTTCTGTTCCGCAATGCCTTTGCGGCGCAATCGCGCTTAACTGTGGGAAGTTTACTGTACTACCGGTTGCGGCCGATACGCCTTGACAACGCAATGACTTGACGTTGGTTCTGCGTACAAGATCTAAATCAGCACGTGCATTGCATCGTAGAGGTACATGTAAGTCATGAATATACATCCCACGCATATGACGTGCCGAGTGTGTATGGTGTGTGTATATGCATTACGTTCCATGAATACGCAATACTGATTTTTCTGATTGGTCATTGGTACATGTAGTTGTGACACCAGCGATATCACTGTTGTGTTTTTGTGTTTGGTTCGCATGCTACGGGTTGCACTACACCAAATACGCGCCCGTAGAAAGCATTGCAAACTCAGACCGAAATAGCGCTGCCTGTTGAATCTTGGGAAGAGGTTGGCCTCCGTTTTTTCACTGGAAATTCAAGATTGTGGCCAGAAGATCACTTTTCATTGCAATTTTATGGGGTTAGCCACGACTTTTTTTTTTATTCGCGTTTCCCCCGAAGATACCTCCAAAATCGTAGTAAAACTACATGCTTAGCGCTGAATACCCCGAACTGGAAATTATGCAGTCCCAAATGCGGGATTTATAGAAATATTTCTATGATCCCTCCTGATTACGGCATGTCGTATTGTAAACACCCTGTGGGATCACAAAATATAAATGAGCTCACATGCAGAAATACAACCACTTGGTTGAATGCACCCTACGGGTACTGGACACAGTCTAAAACAAACATGTACCGTATGGACATGTACATGTTCGTCAGGCGTACATGTACATATGTGCACGTACATGTGCATACTGCATAAAATGTACATGTACTGGTACGTGTACATAAACTTTTCATAATGATATATATTTTTTTCTGTCTCTTGGATTGTGAATAAAACAAACCGTTTCAGCCGGTAACCACTTTGTGTGTTTAATTTGCTTGAGTAGAGTTATACTTATGAATATTCTGGAAATTCATAATTCCCATGGCCATTTATGATTACTCATCAACAACTCAACAACAGTCAGCACCGAGTGCACACTGTCATGCATGATGTTGGAGCAGAAAACACTAGTGCCAAAAAATGGTTGTTGAAATTTGGGGGAAGACGCGGATTAGTGAAAATGCTGGCAGACTAGTAAAAAGCCATCACTGTTGGTCCGGCTGGCAAGTGAGAAAAAAAGTGAAGGGCAAACCCTGGCATGAGTCCGTGTAGGGCCAGGCTGATGGTGCAGACGGGATGTGCATTGGAATGACCTCGGACGTGCTTCATTTTGGGCATGCGCTGTTGGAATACTGAACTGGCTTACTGAGTATGAGTGTGACGTCAAATTTGGCAATGGACCATATCAAAACAACCCCTTCCCTCAAAAAAAGAAGAAAAAAAAAGAATGGTTCCCCAAATTGGCCTGCTTACTGCTTGCTGAAATTTCCAAATGTTGGGGGTCCCTTTTATTTGCAGTTATAAAGTTTCACTTTTGACAAGGAGGATTTACCGACAAATCCGATAGTTGAGGAGTATATCAAATCCCACTCTCCTCCCCGAGCAACATTCCTGAACACCTGGGCCCAATTTCACGGCGCTGCTTACCGCAAGCAAAAAATCAGCACTTACTGTAGCAGAAAATTCTGTGCTTACAGCCTACATATTTCACGGGGTAGCGAGAAATTTTGGCTTGTGCGCATGCGTACATCCCGTAACTGAGGATTCTTTGCTTAAAGGGTTAGCGCAGAATTTTTCTGCTTGTGCGGATAGCGCAGGATAGAGATCATAAGCGCAGAATTCTGCATTGAGCAACACCATGAAATTGGGCCTTGTACATATACGGGCTTGCAGGTCCCAGCGATCATTTGTAGTTCCTGATTTTCTTTCACCTCATTCTCCCGGATCCAGGGGTGAGATTTGTCAGGATTTTTTTATTTCAGGAGTTTTCAAGCAATCTGTTTTAAAATCTGGGAAATCCGGAGCTTACCTTTGCTGTGTTTTTACACATAACATTTGATATCAAACTCAAGAAATGGGTATTTAAGCATAGACCCTACACTCCTGTAGGGTCATGATCAAACCCATCGATGATTATTTGTGGACATTTCATTTTCCTCCAATCTCACGCCTGCAGATCCTTCAAAATCGATCAGGAGTTTTTCTCAGGATTTTGTGGGGTCAAGGCAGGTACAGTCCAGGGAATGTGAAGGGCTATGTACAGTTGTGTTGTCAAGTCCACCCCAAGTCTGCAGTGCTGTAGTCAAGACCATCACAAGACCAGATACAAGACTATACACAAGACCAGACACATGACCATACACAAGACCATACACGAGACCAGACTCATGACCATACACAAGACCATGCACAAGACCAGACACAAGACCATGCACAAGACCAGACACAAGACCATGCACAAGACCAGACACAAGACCAGTCACAAGACCAGTCACAAGACCAGTCACAAGACCAGTCACAAGACCAGTCACAGGTAACCATGAGAACAATGACAAAGGAATGCTTTTGTTACAGTTTATTTGAAAAACTTGTGACTTGAATTCAGATGGAGGTCTTGTGTTGGTCTTATGTGGTCTTGCGAAGGTCTTAAGTGGTCTCAACTGCAACATTGCAAATCCATGCAAGTCATTCAAGTCTGATTTAAAGCCAAGCCTCAAGCTGTTCAAGTAAACTATGACAAGAGCATTCATCATGTCATTGCTCACCCTGCTACTTGTGACTGGTCTTGTTACTGGTCACGCGACTGGTCTTGTGACTGGACTTGTAAAGGGACTTGACTACAACACTGGTGTAGGATTTGCATAGTAACAGCGCGGAGCTCTTCATCTCAGAATCTTGCATTCCTCTGAACCTTCCTGGTTGATTTTGAAGGATCTGGAACGATGAGCATATGTTGTTTTAAATTAGGTTTTTTTTATGTTAGCCTGTTAATTAGATTCCAAGTGTTAGCCAGTTTATCTTTCAGTTTTGTTTTGTTTGCTTTACTGCCCCTGTGCGAGATTATTTTCAAGTGGTACAAGTTCTAGTGGTTCTTTTGTTGGTGCCCTGGTGTTGAAAGTCTGAAAGGTGCTTTTAATTTACTTGTTTGCTTTCCGCCAAAATTGAATTTTGGTATGATACCATTCTCCCTCAAATGCCTGAAAATACCTGTTTCAAATTGTCTGAAACCGTTTTCTTATTGCCTGAGGTAAACTATGCAAACGTCCTATTTAATTCCACGGCATATGCACATACCAACAGTCAGTGCATCAAGTTTTAGTTTCAAGATTGAGGGGACAAATAAACTAGGAATGTGTGTGGGGAGGGGGGGTTCCGAGGGTTGTCCTACTGTTCCTCAATTGAGAATCCTCAGCTGCAGCTTTGATGTATTCAACTCTGCCAAAACGACATCTTGTTCACATTCGAAAAGTCCATGAGCCCGTAGTTTAGACCGAGGAATAGACCTGCAGTTTTTGGATACAATCACGGTCAAAACATCACCAATCCATTTTTTGGAACTTTGGACCTTCTATTCCGCCCTTCGTTGATCATTCATGTGAGAAATATTTCACTGGTACCCAGTCACTGATTGTCTGGTTCCCAGGCCAGTCAGTTTTCGTGCATGTGTTATTTGTAGGCGTGGTTGCCACCACTGGTAAAAATGGACCTTTATGTAAAATGTATGATATATCATGTAATGGTTATTATGCAGGTTGCTCGTGTCCATTAGTTGATTCTTTTTTTAATTCACTGTTACTGGTATTGGAAGGTGTGCAAAAGTAGCAATAAAACTTAGAAAAATTGAGGAAAGTTTTCAAGTTTGGCATATAGGGAAGTCAGGTGATTGTGCATGTAGTTGAAATTTCTAAACATTAATGACACTGACTCAGAAATCTCCAAACATTTGGGAAACGAGAAGTTTCTGCCATTTTTGTCACATAACCATGTCAGTTACCTGTCCTACAGATGACTCACAATAGTTGGTAGCTTTTGGTCTGGGAACCAGACTCTGAGCACTCACAAGCCAATCAGTGCTGGTTCAAGCTGTTTTCTTTTTTAAGCACTAGTAATTGCATTCTGGTAGGTTGTTAAGCATTCTCATCGGATAGAGAGTACCAAAGTGTGATGTCATTTTGAACCAGGAAGTGTAGTGCAGTATGCACTCATGTTGGTTCACGTGCTGGTTCTCGCACTAGTGTTTTTACACACATAATTGACCAACGACTTCACTACTCTCATCTATGTACTGCGTGCACTCCTAATCAGGGTCACCCCACAATCCCTTTCAGTTTCACTGCAAAATCCTACAACAGCTAGTTAGTCCATACCAGCGTTGTTAGACTTTTAGGTACCAGTCTGAATAAAGAACATCCACATCTCTTACAAACCAATGGTCTTTTCCGTCTCTGCTTTATCTTCACTTTTAATCTTTCTTCTCCCCTTCCACCCCTCGTTCCCTCCCCTGTTACCCAATGTGTTCCCCCTTTTCTCTGTGTATCTGTGTGATGTGATGTCACTATCAGGAGACTGGCGGTGAGAAGGTAAACTCATTACTAACCCAGTGTTGTAAAAACTGCTTTGCTGAAGTTGTTTATGCTTGGCTGACATTGCTTTTTGCTTGTAAGCAGTAGTTGAATTTTTTTGGGTGTACGCCACCTTCAAGTCTTTCTTGACACTGGTTTGGAAAATCCGCAAGGGGAATTTTATGAGAGCGTTTGGCCTGTGGCATGTTTGTTGCTAGGCAACAATGCTAGTGGCTCCAACATCCACATCCTCTGATTGTTACAATTGGGGTGAAATAATGCAATGCCAACAATATGAAAGCAAGTGGTATCATTCGTGGGCCTTCATGGGCAAGAGAAGTAGATTGACGCTTGTTGCGGCGTCTCTTGAGAAATTAATGGAGAGAAGTTTTTGGGTGGGAAATGCCGCTGTGGAAGCTGTGAGGTAGTGGCTGCCATTTCCCATAGACGTGTGCGTTGTCACAAGCTGTAGGCACATAATTAGGAAGCGGCTATGCTCTCTACCCAGGAACTCTAATTAGCACTATTTGATATGATAACAAGGGCCAGTGAAAGTCCTTGCAAGCATCATGACTTGTACAGAAATGTGCACAACCAGTTTTCAACCCGATGTGCACAAACCCATACATGTACACGTAGCACCCCCTTGAGAAATGGATGTGCAGGGCAGGGGTGTAAGGGAACAATGGCAGTGAAGCGTTCCAGCTACGGAGACGTACACATCAAAAGCGCCTGACCCGGTTTATTGGGTTACAGATTTTACCCAGCTAATTTTTTTGGGCGCCCAGTAAACTTCATCACCAGCCCCAGTAAAAATTGGCCCACATACCTTGCCCACTGTCATACCATTTGCTTTGATCCACTGTTATTCAGTCATGCATGGTGTGCAGAGTTGCTCTGTGAAGTGTGACGTGCATGTCCCCCATCCATCCCCACCCTCTACCATCTTTCTTTCCTGTATCTCTGTTGTTGTTTTCTCTGCTGCTTTCTCTCTTGCTGTTACGCCGTACAACGCACCTCGTCTGTCATGGTGCATTGCGTTGCGTGGCCTCAAGACAGACAAAACTGTTTTATGTAGTTGGAGTGAGCAGCATGTTGAGTCGGGGATGTTCAGTTTTCCAGAGTGGCAGTCTTCCATTTGTCATTGTCATCATAAGTCATTGGAACTAGTCACAGGTCAATCACAAGTCATCATCGTCAATTTGTAAGTCATAACCTGTCAATCTCAAGGCACTACAAGTCCTTGCAAGTCATCACAGATCATCAAATGTCATCCCAAGTTATCGCAAGTCATCACAAGATAAGCATAAGGCAATCACCGGTCATCACAAATCAACTACAAGCCATCACAACTTGTCATGCAGTCATCACGAGACATCGGAAGTCGGTCACCAGCTGTCACAGAATTATTACAAACTTGAGATTCACCTGTGACCAAGTTTTGTCAAAAGTAAACAAGTTACAAACAACAATCTATTAAAGTAAATCACAGCGAAAGTATTCTCTTGTTCTCACTCCAGTACTTGGGACTTTCCGCCTGACAAGATTGTGATGCCACTTGCAAGAAACGTGGTTGACTTAATCAATCACAACTGATTTTACCCTGCCATTATTTCGTGATCATTTTATTTGGAACCCTGTCCCAATCAGCAAATCATTTTCATTGTTGTCTGAGCTGGCTAATATGAGTCAGCTGTGAACATCGTTCTCTTATATGATACTGTACTCTTCACCCTTCATTTGCACCAACACAAAAATCATCCCAAACTACAACTTGGTCCACGTTTTTACGTGCGTCTGTTGTTAAAAGACACCCAGTAGGAACATCTAGACCGTTCTACCCACGTGCAGTGTGCTTGGATGAAAGATGTCAGCATTACACCATACAGTAATGGGGGGGGGGAGAAACACGAAGCCGGGGAGCCCGAAACCGGACACAAAAGCTGGGCCTTATTACAAAAGACCGTACTCAGAACAAAGGACCCAGCTGCTGGAAATTGCTAACATTTTCTCAGTTGTAGCAGAGGAAATCCGTCATTGCTTTGAAAGATTATACCATCGTTTGTGGCATTTAACGCAAGTGCTTCATTTAATGCACCTGTTATGTGTACATGGGAAGCAGGGTACACTGTTCCCTCTCCCTCCTTGTGAAGGCATTCATAAGGAACCTGGCATTCGGTCCAGCCTTTCTGTTGTTCCCTGACGAGGGAGTGGTTTTGCATCCCTCCCCCCCATGCACCACTACCGGTATTCTTCTATTCTTCCCGCCTGTCATGTTCATAGACATGCTTACTCCAGAGAAATGGCAGTCTTTCCAAAGGACTGTGATCTGTCCAGATGCAGTCTGAATCCGGAGGGTTCCTCTCATAATTTGTGCAGTATCTGCCCGAGAAATTACACGTAGTCAAGAAGTACAAGTATAGTATCCCGTATCCCATCATTTTTTTGTCTGCTGGAACCAGGAAATTTACTATTTACATCACATAGGCTGCGTCCGAATCACTTGGCTGCGGCTGGAAATTACGCACGAGTCTGTGGCTGCAGCCAGTTCCCATTAAGTTATGTGTAAATTCCAGCCACAGCCAAGTGACTCGGACATGGCCATAGAAAGACAAAATATCTGTAAGCTGCCATTGTTGATTCCGTTGATGATAAAAGTAGACTTAGAAGGGAGTGGGAGAGTAACGATGTAATGATGCCTTTATTGAAGTGTGTTTAATTTCACTGCCTTTTTTGTTTTCAATTCAGCGTTTGTTATTCAACCACTGCAACCTTGCTCCCATGCCAAAGTTCTGCTTGTAGCATGCCTGCTAAAATCTGCATAGCATTTTTGTTGACATGTTGCTATTTGTATATCTTTCTTTGCCGTTTTCCAATTTTGTTTTCTTTTCTATTCACTGAATTGATTTCTTTGCTAGCCATGTCATTGCTGTTGTGATTTATTTGGTGTTTCTGTTGTGTGTATTCTCGTGGTTTTCATGAAATCCTTTCCTAGTAATGCGTACATGTACATTTAGTTCATTTCACACCTTACCATTTTGAGAACTAAAGAAATTTTGTTTTGTGTGAGTTGTACACGTGCTCTGTCAAACGGTTGAAGTTCTGTCATGATTTTCCAGCTCAATAAAGTCACAAAAACTTAAAACTCTCTGGCTGCATTCCTAGACTGCCGGAATATATCATATGATTGCAGTCATTATAAATCCTACTTGTGAGAGTTTGCCCTTCAAGGTTATCCTTACCGCTGTTTTAGTAGTTAGAGTGTAGTTCCTTTGCCTGAGGCCTTTTCAGGTTTTCCTTTTTTTCATGCTGTCAACATAGCTTGGCTTGGCAGAGATTTGAAACATACAGTGTTCAAAGCTTGAGGAAGTTTGCCAATGTCAGGGGCAGATCCAGAACTAGATTCTCAGTGGGGTGGGGCAAAATGTTTTGGGGGCGGGCCCCAAAATTTGGAATTTCTTCACCTTCACACTTTATGGCCAGGTTTTGGAGCTTTTTACACGCTGTTAAGGAAGTGGTTCCCCAAAAGAGCTACCTTTCTCTCGTGTTATCTCAAAAACCAAAGTTGGTCTCTTAGTGGGGGCCATGGTTCCCGTTATCACACCCCAGATCTGGCAATAGTGGCCAACACCCACAAAAGTCAGGAGGAATGGGAAGTGGGTGGGGGTCTTGAGACATATCCAGGGGTCATGTTGTAACCTTGTTTGTTGATGTGCTCCACAGATTGTCATAGTATTCCTCCATTCAATGGCAACCTCGATCCCAAGGTCTATTCACTTGTCTTGAATGCTGGATAAGGAGAGTCATTCCCCCCCCCTTTTTTTTTGCCAGTATAAGCACAACTACACGTACCTCGGTGATGAAGGATTTCTTGGATTACAAACAAATCATCAGATATTCCTTCAAATCCTGTCATATTGATTGCTTTTAATCTGATCTAATCATTTATCTCGCTGATTAGTTGTCCGGGTAGTTTACACTTCCGCGCACAGTGCATTGACAAGCAAATACTTGTACACTGCCCAAAGGCTGTCCATCACGTGGCATTGATTTCAACTGAAAGAAAATTTGGTCCAATCAGCTACCGGTTCAACTTTTTTTTAATGCATTCTAATCTGTGAACAAACTTCAGTGGTTGCTAAGCTAAGGGTTCCTGTAGTCATGGCGAGCATAGTGCTTCTTAGTATTCTAAGCGTGAATACCCATTCATACATACATTTGTTGCAAACACCAACTCAATGTTGTGACATTAGACCGAACACTCATGCTGGGAATTTGCAAAAGGCGAACACTTTTGAACTGGAAGAGAATTCCACTTCATTTCGTGACACCACATTCGCTTCGCTTTCGAATTTGCTTGAAGTATGAACCAGCCTGTAGTTGTACGCATACCATTGCAGTGTGTAACCTGTGCTGAATTTTCCTGTCCCGCAGACACCAACAGAGGACTTTCTCATGACAGATGACCCGCTGGGTCCCAAGGAAGGCGAGAGCATGAAGAGAGGTGAGATATCCGTTGCCTATCCGTTGTCAAGCTACATCAAAAACAACGTGGTCAATTGCAAGTGCAGAACTGCATATACCGGCACTGTGCGCAATGTACGTGAAAGTGTACACTGTTCATGTCAGCGTACCGGGGATGACGTCATCCGATCAGCCCGGGAGAGCGAACGGCCAAAAGGGGATTTTTTGTGGGCGGGGAAATGCCGGATCTTTTTATTCATTTTGGGGTCACACGCAATGGGGTAAACATTAAATTTATGATGTTTTTGAAATGTTTACGTATTTATTCTTTTGAAATACTTCACGTGAACTAATTCTTTGAGGGGCCAACCCATCAGTGACCACAAATCACTCTGCTGTACAACTGCTCCATGGACCATTTTTGTGGACCCATTAACCCTAACAGTCCCGAATCCTCCAATTTTAATATGATTTTGCACACACCCTAGGGGGTTAGGGTTAAGTTTGTTGTAGCAGCATCATACTGTGTATCCACATCAAGGGTAGTTCTAAATTTGAAATTTTGTTTCTCCCCTTGCTAACCCCCCCTCCCCCCTTGCCTCACCACAGATGCCTCTCCCAGGGGTAGCAAACGCCGCTTCTTCAACTTCAAGAAGAAGGACAAGAGGCAGAGCAGTATCGACGACACGTCAGTAAATGGCTCCGAGGCACCGGGCAGCGAGGCCCGCAAGGGCAGCGATTCGCGCAAAGGCGGCGATTCGCGCAAAGGCAGCGATTCGCGCAAGACCAGGTCCAACACACTGGACGTCCCCAGCAGCGGTAGGAGCAGAGGTCAGTGGGGCAGGAGGGCGGTCCGTTCTTGTATATCTTGCTCGATCCCAAGCAATTCCACCACGGAAGTGGAAATTTGGTCATGCTGTCATCGACCTCATTATTATGAGCTTTGAAGCTTGTCATGGTGAAGGTGGCAAGTTTAAAGAAAGGTTTGCAGCAGCACCGTGCAAGGATATCTCTGTGTATGTGCGGTTCTGAAAAGAACCGGAGAGTACTCAACGTTGAGTACCCTCCGGAGGGAATGCTGTGCACCCTCCTTCCAGGTTCCTTTCAAAACAACGCATATAAAGGGATATCCTTGCATGGTGCTGCCAAAATGAAAGTGTATCCCTAACAGTCCCAAATCCTCCGATTTCAAGATGATTTTACATAAGCCCTTAAAAATAAATGAGAGTGGAATCGAAGTTAATGGATGTACTTCTTAGTTCTACTCTCTTTTTTTTCTAAAAATGAAGATATCTCTTTAAGACAGACTTACATATAATACTGAGGTGTGTATTAACAGCAAGACCGCATTTCACCTTTTGCGTGGAATTGTCCTTTCTTAACCCCTTCACTCCGGGAGATGGCAAGAGCCTCAGCTTTGTGTAAGGATTAGTGCGTACCACACATACAGTCTATTCACCATGCAGCTGCTGGTTCAATGGGGCCTGCTGCTGGACAAAGCCCTTCATTCAGGGCATACCACGGCCCAGCAGTCACGGTCAAAAGAATTACCGGCGCAAAGGGGTTAATGTGTCAAGCACATTGGCAAAAACCCCATTTCAAGGTTGGGTGAACGACAGTTTTGGTTCTTCACATTTCATATTGCAGAATTGTCTGTTCAATACCGAGTTCACATTGAGCACCTTGGTCGGATCAGCTCAACATAGATGAACAACTTTCTTATTTCAATCATTTGGTTTGCTCATTGCTAGTATCGCAACCATCAAACTTTAAAGTCCGATGTCTGAAGTGGGTACTGCAGTTAATAGGATCTGATGACATTCAGCATTGACCAAATAGACAAAGATGCCTACCCTAATAGGCAGGGGCTTTGTTGGTTCCCGTCCCACCAGAGCAAGTGATGGGTTTTGTCCCATGTTGTGCAAAATTCCATTAAAAGGAATGTTTGAGAGAGAGAGATCTTGAGGAACTTTTTCAAGTTGTAAGTTTTGTATCAGCTATCAAGCCCAAGAAGTTGGTTGCATTTATTCTTTTAGTAGCTGCAGTGAAATAAATCATGCCTGATCAGAAAAGACGCTATTGCCAGATCCCTTAAAAACTGAAAACTTTTCTTAATTTATTTTTCAGTGATACTGAATTGGCTTTGCATCAAGGAGATTTACCGTTGCTGGGGTAAAATCCCACATAGAAATTGACATCTCCTCATCACAAAGCCAAATTAATATCATTTATTGCCTGGGGTACTTTCTGCTGCATGACATTTGAGCCAGCAAAGTCTTGGTCAAAGTCCTGCAAAAGTCTCTGGTCAAGTGCTTGAGACATCTGGACTAGTAAGTCTAGACAAGAAAGTAATACTGGGAAGTCGCAGGTTCAAATCCCACCCGAATAAGCTTATGATTTTTCACAACTCGTGAACCATGTTTAGAATATGGTCTGAAGACATACATCTGTGGAAGGGCGAAACCCAGTATCAAAAAAAAAATTGGTTTCTCCCAGAGTCGTCACCAAGTCGCATGAAGAAGCGGGTCTTCAGCTTCTTGAAGAAGGACAAGAAGGACAAAAGCCGCCCCTACAGCTCCAGTACTGATCTCCAGAATGGGGCGGAGCTGCACCCGGGCGGGGAGTCACCCTCCCCGACCACGCCCAGCAGCACGGGCAGCGGCAGCCTGTCAGTGCCCAGCGGGGGACGGTCCTCCAGCACGGGGGATCTCAAGACGGGCCGAGCCACGGAGGAACAGAGGAGGTTATCGGCAGACGCCAGGCAGCAGGGCAAGGAGAAAGGGATCGGTTCGCCTGTCTGACAGGGAGATGAGTAGGTGAGGCTACCATGTCAAAGAGGGTTGTGCCATTGAGATATTCAGATATTCAATGGTTTATTGAACATTCAAATATGTACTTTCAAATTCAAATAATCAGAAATGAAATCAGTGACATTAAAAATGGAAAAATTCAATTATTTGGTTATACAATTGCATTCTAAACGCATTTTTAAGGCATTACAAGTAAATTTAAAGTTGCTTTATGCATATGCCAAACAGTAATGTCCAAAGTCACTTTCCTTCAAGTTTTTCTATAAGCCTTTTTTAAAAGCATGTATTTTTTTCTGTTTTTGTGGGAATTGGGCAAGGAGATTGTTCATGACTACGTGTGAAAGGAATAAAGCATAGCACGGCTACAGAGGTGTCACAACAAGAACAAAGTACCAGTAAAATAGTTGGACAGAATCGTTGGAAATTTGTTATTTCTTCCATTTGCTTTGACTGTGATTCAAAAGGTATTTATGACTGGATATAGATTTCTCTGCCACTTGGGTGCACTTCTCAGTGGCTTAGATGCATAGGTTATATCGTCATGATGCCTTAACCCTAACCCCCCAGGCCTTTTTACCAGGAACCATTCTGAATCCACCGAAATCCTCCGATTTTCAACATAAAAAAAATTGCATTCAGCCCAAATCCTCCAAAATCCTCTGACATTTCTTGAAAATGTCATTTGGAGGTGTGCCTATGGCTTCAATCCTTCAAAATCCTCCAGCAATTCCTGTCATTATGTTGAGGCAGTGCGAATGGCATTCTTGAGCAGCGCGGTTGATTCAAAAGAAATATCGGGCTGAATTTGTGCTTGACCAAGCACAGACAAGATAAGGTCTAATCCAAGACCTTCACGTATGGCATCCTTCGAAAGCAGCCATGCAATTCTTCCATACACCCTGAATCCTTGAAATCCCTCCACTTTGCAGAAAAGGATTTGGGAGGGTTAGGGTTAAAGGTGACTTTTTTACATCCTACAACATGTAAGTTACTCATGAACAGAAGATAAAATGCTATGTACCACGTGTACGGTACTGTTAATCATAGGAGTGGCGAAAAACATTATATTTTTCCCTCTAAATCTTAAAAAGAAATCTTTCTTATAATGCTTTCCTCTGTAACATTCTTTTGTTCAGGGCTGGCATGCTTTCAATCCAACAAGTGAAAATGCTGGCCTGATTTCAGATCAGTTTGTAGTGCATTTGAAACATTGTCCATTTCCTCTTAACGATGCATTGATTCCCCTCTATCTGTCCCCCCCCCTTCTCCTGTCAATCCAGAACTCCTGGAGTGCAGTGGATGCCACGTTTGGATGGTTTGAGGAGCCCGTACATGTACATTGCCAGTTGAGCTGTGAGTAGACACACTAACAGTTCTGACTAGTTGGAAACAAACCGATCACCTCGGACAAGCAATAACAAGTAACACAGCCTTGTACAGTGCGCTTCTGTGCTACTGTGGATACGTAACAGTCACTGAGACGTATTTTGCTGAGAGTGTTGCCGGCGAGAGTGGAACCTCGGACCGTCTGACATTTTGTAGGTTGTGTGTAGTGCAACATTGCCGTGCAATTCATCACTTTGTAGATTCAAAGGTAGTGGAAAGAATTCCCTTTTTTTTGTATTTCAATCACCAATTTGGAGATGGTATCACTGTCAAATTTTAGATGAAAGATATATCTGCTGTTCACTGAAAGTGTGGATTCGAACAGCGGATCAGGGGAATGCAAGTTTAGAGTTGTAGTTATATATCAAATATCTGATCTAAATTTCTGACTTCGTCCATTAATATTGTAAGCCTTTTTAGTGAGATATATACTGTATAGACTCTGAAGAGGTGTCAGGTGTTTTGTATTTGTAGTTTGTAGTTATACTGGGTTTGGTTCGAACCAGCTACCAGCAGATTTGCAGTACTATCCAAACAAGCAAGGCAAAATGTTTTGGGGAACTGTTCCCTCAAAACCTTTTCAGTTAAACTGTGTGGGAATTTTTTTTTTGGGGGGGGGGATTAGGAGAACTTGCAACCAGCAGGTTGTAGATGAGCTTGGAAGCTTTTTCATGATGGAGGTGGCAAATTAAGTCAAAAAAAGTGCTCTTCGTAGGATCCTGAGTTAGCATCCTCTCCACAGCTCACCGCCTCCAGACACCATATAAGCTGCTTCATCAATGGACCCCTTTGCATTCTCCTGATGATGGACAGAGCATACTGTCCGAAACGTTGAGTACAAGCCAGTTCGTTTCAGAACCACACATTCTCACTAAAGAGATATCCACGGCAAACCTTTTGCTTAACCACTCAACGCCGGATTACATATAAACACACAAAATTTTCCTTATTTGCTCCACGTAGGACATTTACACTCATTTAAGAATTCTTCTTTCAATCCCCGGGGTTGACGCATTAACGCGTCGTGCTTGGTTGGGTCAAGCACAGAAGATGATCCTACACGTGTATACTGCTACTAAGTGGTCCCACTCCCAACCAACAATAAAATGAAAATGCCTTTCTGGAGTAATTGGAATTGAATTGGGATCCTCTCCATACACAAAAGAGCTATATGTTTGGGTCAGCGGATTTGCTAGGGAGTGAAACCACACTTTATACAAAAGAGATAAGGTTACAAAATCCCAGCTAGCCATGACTAGCAACTCCTTGGTATTGAAACAATTGCCCAAAACACACACGGCCACGGGTGATGCCTGTGTACGCTGTTGACTTTTTGACACGTGAACACGCGCCACAAGTTTCACCAGGGCAATTGACAAAATGGGGAAAAGAGTGAAAGTGCTGATGGGGAAGTCATGAGCGGGTAAGAAAATCCGACGTTAACTGGTGAAAGAGTCAAGGATCCACTAGCTTACGGGAAGTTTCCCAGTTAGGTCAGAATTGAGCGCAGAATTCCTGTTCTTCCCTCTTCCCCCCCCCAAAAAAAGTTGGGATTTCACCCCATTCAGAAAATGCTTACGCTCCAACTAAACACAGATGTTCTTTTTGACTGCTTGAAAAAAGAATGACAGATCACAGACTGTGTTACCGTTGCCCCCACAGATTCCTGAGCAGTTCATCTGCTCTGCTCATTCAAAAGTGGAGACCGTCCAACCTTGGTGTGCATTTATTTTGACCTGGCCATTGCCAAGTTGATGGGATGGTTGAGTTAGGAGAGTGGAGACCCAGTTGTGGGTCGTGGCGAGCCTCGGTGTGGCCCCCGCAACAAGGGAAAACACATATCTAAACATGTACGTGCATGCCCGTTTGGGAATACTGATCCAGTTCATTACTTATAAGAAGCATGCGTTCACTTGTAGTGAATGCGACTCCCTTGTGTTGAAAAAAAAAACACAGTTAGCATTAGTCCGTTTCTGTAGGTTACAGGTGTTTGCTGCTTCAAGCCGAAATTGTGCCATGTACATGTACGAAGTGGCACGCAGGCTATGATTGGAGTGAAATCGACCGAGTGAATTTCTGTTTATACACGGAAGTTGATTAATCCCAACAGTCATCAGTCCTTCACCTGTTGGAGGATGGAGGCCCGTTACGGTTTATATTTTCAATCAGAAAAAGTGCTGAAGTCTATGGGGGATAAAAACTGGTTGAGCATAACGTACCTGTCCCTAGTTTAACACCAGCAGCTGCCTTCATGCTGATCCTCTCATAAAACAGATTTTGCGATTTCCAAGGCATAACCATTGCGGAAACACAGCCAAAATGACTGGTCGTAGCCATTATTTGGGGGGGGGGTGTTTGCTGCTAACTGCATCTTATGTCACAGTTTGTATGCACGTACATGAATGCGTGCACGCAGTCCAACTTCAGCTAATCCCTACCAGTGGACATGCGTGTGTTTGCGTTGCTCTCACTGACACTGAATAACTGTGCTTTCCCGTGAGATTACGCACACTTAAATGTGATCTATGTTAACTTGTCATTGATTTTGAACCCAAGAATGTTTGTGTTTGTGTCACAGAAGTCCTGAGTGGCTTTTCTGCAAATTGTTAACATCTCACACGTTATCTACCCAGAAAAATTGACGTTTGTAAAAAGCATCCTCAGGAACCGAAATGTGAAAACAACAATAATCAGGAAGTTGATTTCCACAAGATCCGTTCAGGTCCGTGATTGGATATGCAAGATTAAATCACTTCCTATATAATGTATAAACCGCATCTTTCAGAGTGGGAAGGAAAATGACATTGTTGTATCTGAACCCATCACCAGTCAAAAAGAGAAGGTCTGGAAATGAGGGGAAAAAAAGTCCATTCAATGAGTGGCACCTGTAGTAGTGTGTCACTTTTTAAAAGGTCCTATAAAGCTGTCCTTGTTAGAATCCAAACCTGGACTGAGCTAGAAGTTGAAATTGAAATTTATTTTTAAGAAGTATATCTGACGCTGTATAAAATAAACTCATTACCAAGTTTTCAGGAATGTTTTTAATCTACGTGTAAACTCCATATTTTTGCATTTTTCAAGGAAGACAAATGTTTTGTATACTGCAGATTGATTGTTGATAAATTACTGCCATACTTTGACAAGAAATTGGCATAAAAAATGCCAACAGTTTGAGAAAAAGTGTGTTTAGTCATCGATGTGTAACTGTGGTGCCATAATATCTCCAATTAGACCGTTGAAAAGTTGTACAGTTGTTTCTTTTTCTCCCTTCGGTAAAGATCTTAAAACCTGCAATTATTTAAAACTGTGGTTTGGAACCGCAGTATAAGTAAGATATTTTGTCATTCTCTTTGTCGTCCTACATTAGAGTATGTAGAAGGAATTTATGTCTAGAATGTTTTGGTAACAGGTGTTTTCTTGTTAATCCAGTGGATGTCTGATTGTGGTATTCATTACCAGCTACACTGTATGCCGTAGTTTGTAATCGGCTTACAGTGAGCCCAACCCTTGACGGCATTTTCACCCTTTTTAACCCTTGAGCTGGTGTGGTTGAGAGACCAGACTAGCAGCATACTAAAATGTTTCCCTAGTCTAGTCTCCGCACTGACAAATGAAGAGATGCGGACGTCATTGCCGAACAGTTCTCGGTGATGTGTAGCTATACGGAAATGCATTATCAAGACCTACACAAACATAAATGTTGCAAGTCCGTAAAGTTGGACCATGTTCAGCTTTGCCAACTGTCTGCGTCAAATCGTCAACGCTCATGTAGGCCCATGCAAACATGATGGGCATACAACAATATAAATGCCCCTCTTGCATGAGTACTAAAATTGTCAGAGAACTAGCTGGCTGTATATGAAATTCTTGTACACCAAACTGAAGTTGCGTTCAGCTCCAAGAAATATTACAGCCACCTGCCAAAGGCATTTCTGATGAAATGTTTCTGTTTCAGATGCCATTTTGTGTCAGTTTGTATGTTTTTTCATACATTCTTTTCTGCACCTGTCTGCCTGTTGGCATCTCGAATGCTGTTGACAGTGGAGACTTGAGGAGACAACCAGAACAAATGTAGAGTGCGGTGAAGCTTGGTTAAGGGTCCAGCTGCTTGTTTGGAGTCTACCACATAAAACACTGCAGAAGGTTTTGAAAGGCATACCCCACTGCACATTGTCACTGGATGACTGTTATGTAGAGATCTGAAGAAGCCAACTTTAAAGGGTTTTGAAGGGTCAAGGCCGATTGACAAATCGGCCATATAGATTGGGCTTTGTTTACTAATGTGAATTGTATTGTGTCGTGACAACCTCGGGTGTAATTTTATCAAAGGTGCGTTCAGTAAAATGCAAAGAAATAGCCAGTTGTGTTGTCTTTTTTTCACATATGGAGTTTCTATTTTCTTGGTGAATAAATCTGTTGCGCTGTCATTGTGGCGTCAGCATTAGCTCAGTGCAAAATTGTGACTGGCTCTGCAAAAATGGCCCTTGGGCTTTTGTGTGACAAATTGATTTGAAGAGATGCCCACGGATACAGAGGCATTTTAAGAAGGATTAAATTTGTGTATTTTTTACCTCTGTTGCTCATTCGGTTTCCGAGATACAGTAAAATTTAGAATTGATCTCTGGCAGGTGTACGGAATGGTCCGTTACATAAAGAGGCATAGCATGACTTTTGTACTTCCAGTGACATTCTGTATTCTGGATATCTCTTATTTCTACTTGTTTGAAAATTGGTTTTTTTTTTTAATCTGGAAAGTACTTTCATTTCTAAGGAGTCAAACATTAAATTGTTCTTGAGCAGTGAAAATAAGAAAATTTATACAAAATGCACTGTAGTTGTGTATTTTAGCAACAGTTAGGGCTTCTGTTTATATTTTGTTTTCTGCCATTACAGGTTGAAATGGGGTTGTTTGGAGGCGAAGGGCATATCCATGTATGCTTTAGGTTCATATTGCGTGCAATTGTGACTATAGTCTTAATGCCTTGGGTGAATTATAAACCATTTTACAATGTTTTTCTGTAACTTATGTTCTGCCCATTCTTCTCGGAACTCTCTTCCATATGAGTTGCTTGTAGGGGATGTTCAACTGTGGGTTTTCTGATTTGAATAGCATTCATTTTGTGTGAACGCATCATTACATTAACATTGTGAAATGTTAGACAAACAATTGTGTAATTATAGTCTATTTGAACAAACTCCATCATAAACATGAAGTACACTTATACAAACAAACTTGTACAAACATGAGTTTCGGGCAAAAACTTGCAGTTTATGAGATTTATGAGATTTACCATTAAATGTTATTTTCACGAATAGTTTCTGAATATCAGAGTTTGCAGGCTTAGGATGAAGTTTGGAAAGGCACCTGCACATTGAAGAGTTAAGCGTTGTTTTTTTTTTTGGGACAAATTTATTTGGTAAGAACAAATGAGGAAACAGTCACAAGTAATGGTAATTTAATACGCGACAGCTTTGCTTGTAACCTGGTCTTGTTTTAAATCTTCTTTTTCCTCATACATTTGGAAGTTGGTGTTCTCAACAGCTGTGTGTGATCAACTCCAGATATTTTCACTGTGTTGTTGCTTTATAGTATACAGAGGAAACATGAGCCAGTTTGATTGCCTTCCTGATTGGTAGTCTTGCTTCTTTGTTTAAAGAGCGCCCTCTGTTGACTGTAGTTGTGGCAGGCAAGTACTGTAAGGTCTCAGTACGCTTTATATACAGTATCTAAGATTTTTTTGCAGCCAAAAAAGTTTGTATGTGAAAATTTAACTGTTAGATTGTAGCCAATTTTCATGGATCTTCATTTGAATTATTGCTTTGAAAAGAAAACATTTTAGAAAGAATCTTACTCTTTTAGTCAAAGAGGCTTACGGGGCAAAGTTCCATTTTTACCAGTGACTCCACGATAAATCACTGCTTTGGAACCCTAGTAGCGAGATTCGGCACTATAATCTCTACTCGATCTCGCCTACTGCGTTTTTAAAGTCACTGAGCTTTTGGTTTTGGTCGCCATCTTCTGTCTCAGACCTGTAAAATCGATTGGTTCCCATCTAGTCGTACATAGTCTCCAGACGTCTTACAGACGTCCTCCGAACGAAGGGAGTTGCGGGTAATGGCTCCGAGGAATCCTTCCGCTTTTATGTTAATGAGAAAATTAGCATGTACATGTAACTACATGTATTCCCACAATGCAGTAAATTGTACTGTCACTGAACAAAACAAGACTTTCCAGCCGCATGGACGCGTGATGGATATTATGAACCCGGAAATGGAGTTTCCGATTACTTCGAAGCTGTCCTTGGCAAAAGTAAAAATTTATTTAAAGGGGGGGGTGGGATTTTCTGAAGTTTTCCCGAGAGTTGTGTGTTCGGCTACCGCACGAATCTTTATAAATAGAAAAGGCAATTGCGCATGCGCAGAGCTAAACCAGCTACTGACCCCGAAGCCAGCTACCGGTCCCTATATAATAGGGATGGGAACCAGTCCATTTGGAGGACTGCCTAGAAAGTGTGTATTCACTTTTGCTTTCCAAGTGAATGTTTTTTTTCCCCCATGTCATGCATGATGGGCATTTCTGACTAAAAGCTCTTTAGGTCTGCCCTGACGTCCTCTAGAGATGTCCGTTGTTGCAGGATGTTCTCGCTTAGCCGTAAAACTGCGTTATCTGCACCTGGAATATTTTCCCACATTACCAAAAAAGGAACATCCTCCCCAGAGACGGTGTAAGATCTCAATTTTGTTTCCACGTTAAAGGCATTAAAGTCCCAGTAGCGTACAGATTTCAGCCAAATTAGTTCTTAATGCAGTAGACTGGTGTCCTGTCCATCCATTGTCCTTCGGACTACCAATATTCGAGCCGGAGGGGGCGACCAATGAGTAGGCTAGGGATTCATTGCATTGCGCTGATCATGGTGGCAATGAACACTTAACCTGTGAGTGCTGATGTAATACTTAAAAGGGTGGAAACGTTACAGTATGCGCACACATAAGGGGTACTTTTGTAAACGTTATATCTGAACACGCTCTCGGTTCCTGATAGTATCGTTATTGGGACGGAAATATGAACAGGTTTTGTTTTGAATAGTTGTCAGCTGGAGGAAGGACTCACCAAATCTTGAAACTGAAATAAGGCCAACCATAGACGAATCCGATTTGACACCATGGGAGCGTTTGCACAGTTACTCCTGTTAACCCAAGTAGGATGCGTGCGCATTACACTTGGGTGCAGGAGTGTATCTCGCGCGAGCGAGAGTATACTCTCGCTGACCCGCGGGTCGTACTTCATCCGTTCGAGCGCTCAGGAGTATACCCTTGTTAACCCGCACCCCAGTACTTCGGTGGCATTGCACTCAAGCGCACACTTCGGAAAGTCACGACATCCTGTTGGTCGGAGAGGAATGTCGCGCAGACCACCTGCGTGCGAACAGGATGGCCCCTCAGTAATGGCTTCTAATTCTTTTCGCCGGATTTGTCTTTGGTTGCACTTCAGAACAGCTTGAAAAACCAACAGCTGATTGGTGTTTTGATAGCCACTAAAGTATCTCGAAAACAGTCTTGTACAAAAGTTAGTTCGATGATCGAGAGTGGCGTCTTGTACTTACCGGTTAATCTTCATATCAATCAAATTGGGTTAAGTGCGATTAGACTCCATTACTAGTCCTCTGGCTCGAGTCATTGGTTGTTCTTGTAAGATCTGTCACACGGTTATCCGCTGCGATTTTCTTCCCATCGTTGTTCACTTCTGTAGATACGCCTATCTGCCAGGGGAATCTGACATCTCCCGGACACAATTCTATTAAAAACCTTATTTGATAGATGGAAATCTCGTTGTTTGGAGGCAAGATTTTCGTAACTACTCTTTAGATGTTGGAGGCTGTTGAGTTGTTAGCTGACATTTAGTTCACAAGTAAGGACATAACATTCATAATCAGCTTAAAGAGGAAAAGGAAATTCTTGGCAAAGAATCTTTTCCCCCCGAATCGACTTGATCACTGATTGAACTCAAGTGATGTACTTAATTTTAGATGGCTAAAAATAGTTGAGCAGATGAAAAGATTTTCCTTCGTCCACATACACAATGAAGTGTTTTTTCATTGCGCCCTGCATTTTTTCTTTTTCGTTTTTACTCTGAGACAAAGTCACAAATTCCGCGCGCTGTCAAACACTGTGTTCCTCGATCCCTAAAAGTAAGAAACAATTCTTGGAAAATAAAGGTCGCGAAATTGAAAACAGACCTAGGTTACGGTACTTCAGTGTGTATGCTGTTGATGGTTACAAAGTTTTGATCGCGGTTCACAATAAGTTTCGAACTTTGTCATTTTCGACACAGATTTTTATATGTGTGTGTTTTTATGTGTGTAGGGGTAGATGAACATGCATTGAATTGTGTTTAAAGAAAGTGTTAGTTTGTATGGTTTTCATTTTATTCATTTAGAGACGCACTTTGGCAAAAGGACGCTGCGTCCAGTGCAATTATGCACATGGCAGTAAAGTCTTGTTCCTTGGCTTAACGCGCGTGTCAAGCAAAAACGCGTTCAGAGAGTTTGTTAATTAACACATTGCACGTTGTAACAGGTTAATATAGGCTTCTATATCAGGTAGCAAAGGGAGAAGGCTCTCCGTGATGCCTTTCCACATGGCGTTGAATTGCCTCCCTCACCTGCCACTCCCTCCTGTGTGGTCACTCTCCTTCGTATCCATTTTGTGTATATTATCCACAAAATAAAAATAGTGGACCGGAATGTTGTACACACAAAGGCATTGTGAATTTCATATTTTGTTTGTAGATCGGTTTTTAGTTCCCTCCCCTTTAAGTTCTAGCAGTGTCGCTAGCGAGGAGTGTGAACATACTGACCGTCCTGTAAGGGATGGATTCTATAAGACTGTGTCCGAACCGGGCTACCAGAGCTGCAGCCGCGTCTATTGTCACCGTGTTGTTGCGCATTTTCAATGGGTGCTGACCTAGACCTAGCTCTAGAAAGCTGATTCGGATACAGCCTAAGCCTCAGAGTGATAACGTAATAACTGGCTTTGATTTTCTGCGTCCCTATTGGCTAGAAGGTTCTTTTGGTTTGTCCAATCAGGGAAGGGGAAGGCGGATTGAGGCGTGTTCATACACCCAATCTTCTTTTCGGCCCTATCCCCTGCGTGCCTTGCGCACGCACAGCTTTCCTTAGTGGTCGAAGCATCGCAGCATCCAACACGTGCTCTTGGGACGGAAGAGCACATGTGGAAGACTACAGTTTTGTACATACGGTTGTTGGTTTTATTTATAGACTTGAACAGAGTCCAATGGTTTGTTATTTGCAATCATGTAATGATTTTTATCGTAATGTATTTATTTGTAATAATTTAGTATCATGCCAGTGTGAAATTTTGTGGAAATTAAAAATATCTATTAAAAAATCAACAAATAGAGAAATGTCTTTTTCTTTCCCAAATTGCTCGTCTTTCCTTTGTACAGGAATGCCGTGCATTTGTGGTCTGGAATGTGAAACTCGGACCTCTACCTCACCTCACCTGTGGTAACTACCACAGACTGTGTGGTTGCTGTGCGCAGGGCTAGACCTTTTTCCTGTGATGTCACGATCGTGCTGGACCTTTGATGTGTTGTGATGGTAATGTGTGTATAGTGTTGTGATGGTAATCTACCTATTCATGATAAATTAGTAAAGGATGAAACGTTTGCAAGTGCGCTTGCACGTGGTTGAAGCTGCCCGTAGGAATATGTGCGATTACCGTGGCCAAGGCGGTCCACACGTGGTGGTATTGTTTACATTTAGTCACCTGGGTGAAAAAGGTCTACGTAGATAGAGTAGCACCAGCTTCAGATTTTGGAAACAAAATGGCTGGCACTGTGTGTACAGTAGAGCGTGCGCCATTGGTACCAACTGTCCATATGCACTGGCACATGCTGGCGCATACACCTGCCAGTCTGTTTCCAACAAAGGGTAACACTCATGTCGCAACTGGCTGTGCGCGTGTTGGTACGCCCCCTGGCAAGGCACTTTGTTACAAGACATGGTCTTTTTTTCCGCCATGGGTGCAGACTAGTAAATAAGCTGCCATTAACAACAGTGATAAATATCCCTACTTCAAAAATTCTGGAAAAATACCAGTTTCTCAGTTGTTCAAGACACATATCAAATTAAATCTTACTTCCTCATCTTTTGCTTTCCTTTCAATTTCCAGCGGCTTAATCGATGAGTTTTGAAAATATTTCTCTCTAGAGAAAATTACCCCTCAAAACAGTCGTGGGGCCCATCGCCATTTTGAAAATTGATGACTACACTCCATTGCAAAATAGTGTGATTTGGAGGGCCCCGTCTGGTCTGATACTTTCAGAAATACAAGCTGGCTGTCCTGCTGGTTGATTCCATCCCCCGTCTTTACAAACCACCCAGTCCACGAACCACGAAATGCTCTTACAGCAGACAATGTGACAGCCTATATACTGGCCTATAATGATAAAATGAAACCTATGGGTGCGTTCGCGCGGTTATTCCTGTTAACACGAGTTGGATGCGTGCGCATTACATTCGGGTACTCCCCCTAACGAGAGTATACTTTCGCTGACCCTTGGGTCGTACTCCAGCCGTTCGACTGCTCAGTTGTATACTCCTGTTAACGCGAGTAGCTCGCTCGAACGTACCCTATAAGTGCATGAGTGCAGAAGTAGTGTAGTGAAGTCTTGCATTGTACTCCCCGCGGAGTTTTGGCAGTGCCAATGGGTCTGTGTAATAAGTTGCAGTATTTTGGAATCGATCATTGCCGCAACTAGGGGAACCAGGGGTATGCCCCGCCCTCCACCCTCCGCTCGAGGCCTGTGCCCCTGTGTACACCCCCCACCACCACCACAAGCACCACCACCGCCACGCTCAGAAATTTGAGAAGGAAAAACAATCGCGTGTTAGTTCGCCTTTTTGGTCCTTTTTTAAATTGAGTGCCCTTTGCAATTTGTATCCCCAGCATTCATGCTACTGGCACGTAAGTCACGTCAGTAACAGACATTACATACGAACACACACGACAGAATCACACCTGAAAGATGTGTGATAAATAATAAATATTATAACGATGTACAAGTTTGTATGTTAACCTTATGTTAGTTACTAAACTTGGTAAAACGGCAGAGGGCGTTTTTGGTCTTCGCGTGTGTAGCCTGTGTTTGAACTTTCGCTATTTTCCCCGTCTCCAATTATTTTCCAATATCTTTAACGGAATGAAAACAAGTTTGGAAAGTAAATATTTGGGCACTGCCGGGTTGAGGGGAAAAGAAATGAATCTGCTCGATCGAAAGCACAAAGGATGTTTTCATCACGCGATTCGGAAGGACCCTTTCATTAAACCTGTTGACCAACGCCGCTTCTGTCCGCGAATTGGAACAAACGCTCCCGTAATTCGATTCGTCCATCTCGAAAGGTCACCCGTCACACATTCACTACAGCCACCCTCTGCAAAACACACACATACACACTATATAGATAACTATTAGTGCTGCTGAATTTTGAGTCGGGAAAAATCCCCATATATAAGAAAAAAACAGAAGGATTTCATTCACTGTGTATGACAACTCTTCCGTTGGACTTGAATTCATACTGGAAGCGGAGGTATTAAGTTCTTTAGGGACGCATGGGGCAATTCCATATCAATTGTGGCTTTTTACAATCAAGAAAGTCCTGAACAATACGCAGAAAGCGGCAGTAGGCCGTTTCGGATGTGCGCGCGATCAATAGTCGAAATGTCACGCACCAGGGCTTTAGATCTTGAAGAGGTATCGAATTTTATCAGGCGATTTAAAAGTAGGCTGCATGCAGGTAGATACGCACACAAGTCCTGCTAAATGGGGCACATCAATGAGCTATTATTGTCGCGACTACGCACGTCCGAGCCTCATGAAAAATCGGGTCCTGTCTTTTTTTTATATTCCAAAGGACTTGCTTCTATAATCCCAGACAAACTTGAATAATTCCATTCTCAGCAGGATTCTATATTTGGCAGAGAATCGAGCCAGTTGACGTCAGGTATTACACGCTTAAACGCAAGTACTTTGTTTGGTTTTGTTTTTTGTTTTGTTTACTCAGCCTGCCGTCGGAAAAAATAAAGTTGAAAGTAACGTAATTAACATCATTGTTCTCGTGGAGAGTTGTAGATTTTCCCGCTTAATAATCTCGTGCGCACAGGAAAAATCATAATTATAAAGTATTTTTACGGAGCACTAGAAATCCCACTTAGCTTAGAAACTAATAGCAAAAACGAAGAAAAATATGAACAAAGCCAGAAAACCTTAGAGAAAATGATCAAAATTGCGCCCCTGTGCTTTTTAATGGCCTTTGGCGCCAAGGCCATTTGTGCGCATGCGTGCATAATTATGAATTTGTCAGTGAAAAAGATCCATAGCAATAGCTTAAACTTTAATTACGTTCCAGCATCGTAGCGAATAATACACAAGTACCTATCCTTGTTCATCTTCTTTTGATCACAGTGTGGTAACTTATTTTGCATGAATACCATCTGTAAATTATATTACGGCAATTTATTTTAGATCAGAAGTTATTTGTTAAATTTTAGATAAAGAAACAAGTTATGGTGAAGTTATCTTCGGTAACGAACAAGAAAAGGTTAATATTCTATCATGGTCAGCTTCTGCTTGATTTCTGCATTGAGTGGGCTTGTTTCCTCATTTGCATAAAACCGGCAGGATTCCTCCGGTTTCATTACGGTCCCTATATTTCTATATCGGTCCCTACGTTCAGAGGACGTCTGTAAGGCGTCTGGAGAATACGTATGGACGGGAACCAGTCTATCAGTATGGCATGTGTTGGTTGGTTCCCAGCCGTATCAATTGTATTACATATGTTTATGGCAGTTACCATATCGTCCACAAAAATATGTAGTATGACATAATGCCCAGAATGCCGCTTGTGTTTTTAGAAGTAGCAAGCACACGATCTGTTCGTTCTTAATTAATCGGCGTCATCATCAAAGTTGCGCAAAAGTGGAAATCAGCATAAAAAGGGGAGATTTTCGAACTTCTTGTGCTCTTTTCGATGTATGCAAAGGTAAGTTTACGCCCAGTATTCGCAGATATTGATTACATTAACAAAATCAGCGAAATTGATTCGGAAAATGACGAACACCTTTGGAAATATTCGTAACCGGAGGAGGGTGGTTGCCACCAGGACTAAAGATCTCTTACAATAGTCTGAATTTTTGGTCTGGGAACCAGACTTTGATGCTTGCTGGTACTGGTAGGGCCTACCTACCACGGCGGCCGCTGGCTTATGTTTTTTTTTCCAGGAAGGTAAGGGCTAATTATCGTATATTGGCTTGATAACTGCAAGCTCGATCAATTTAGCGGACACTAAGAAACTGAATTGTTAAGATAAATGTCAGGCTTTACTTTTGTATCATAAAACATCCTCCAACCAACTAATTCCCCACCCCAGAAAAGTAACGACATGTAGACTCTAACCCTCGGTTAGTCGGCAAGAAAAGCAATTTTGTTGTGTCTCATACTTACAAGTTTGTGTACCCCATTTATGATAATTACCCCCAACCTTCCCACGAAAAACGCATGCGCAATTGTTATATGTCCATTTTATTATAATTACCCTTAACCTTCTTTAGAAAAAAAAATACGCTGGCCACCGCATGCGCACTCCTGCTCAGACGCTGGTGACTTCTTATTCCTGTTAACCCAATTTTAAATTTCGGAGGTCCAAAACTTGCGGATGGGGCAAAAATTCTGAAATTGTTTTATATGACCTTTTATGGCCATTCTGAGGAGTAAGGCTAAATTATTTGTTCGGGGGGACGGCCCCCATTGAACTCTCCGGATCTGCTCATGTTTCCTAGTGAACTTTCGTTGGACAAAATTTGATTGATGTCCTGATGACAGTTTGTAATATGAGGTACCTGCGCGTGCGCACGAGCTGTTTTTGCATGGGGTGAGTATTTTTTATTATTATTATTGTTATTATTTACATCATAGCCTAGGGGGTTTTGCCAAGGTGGTGCTAATTTGCGCTTGAAAAGAGACCATAGTGCTGATTACATGCGCTCTCATACGTAAATGGGATTTAACAACGGGGCAGAAACATGACATATGGCCGTCAAAAGGGTTGCAATACATCTCACTAAAAACTGGGAGACGTCTCGTTAATGCACAGCTTTAGCTGCTGCTAATTTTCATGTGAGACCTCCGCTAGGAATCGTGGTACGTATTGGAAAGGGGAACAATACCCATGGGAACGAGGTTGAGCCCGCAATGCTTTGCTGGTCTGTGACGTGCTACCTTCCAAAAATCTTGTGCCCCTCCCAGGGCCTGTAGGGGCGGTGGGGACGGGTGAACTGGCGGAGTTTAAGGAACGGCCTTTTTGAAATATTAGAGACGCCAGTTGTGACACATTGCATACACAAATTGTACCAGGGTCTCTCTCTCGTAGGAAGAGCGTCACTGAGATCCCCCATTTTACACCTTTAAAAGTAAAGTTAAGCTTTTCCTGGAGTTACTGGTGGAAACATATCTGTACATGGTGGAAACACGGGTGTAACTTAAAAACGTCATACAAGACGGGAAAGAGTAATTCGCAAAATGAGTTTTGTCCACTTTTATAGTCAATTTTATTTCCCCAAATATAAATTTCCAAGGCATGTGCAAATAAGCAAAATAAAGTTCTCAAAATTTGTCATCAGAACTTCAGGTAAACTTTTATGTAATCATCACTTTGTCGTTTACCTGAAATTACCTCGTCTCAAAACACCAAGATTAATACAAATTCCTCTTGAAAATTCAGACATTTGTATTTTACGCCTACGGATAAAGCAAGTGAAGGTTACCTCTATATAACGCATCGACACATTACACATTATACGTGTACATTTTTAATAAATATATCTTTTTAAGTAATGTATATACTTTACAGAATTGACTACAAGTATCCTTTAAACCGTAATGACATTGAAATAGCTCGAACATACCCTTATTTGCACCTTTTTTTTTGGTCAGTGGCTAAGCTGCCCCACGGAAGCACAGTAACCAAGCCCAGGACCGGTTAGGTCTCGCCGTTTCAACACTGCCCATGAAAACACTGCATTGTAAAAACTGTTGCAGGGCACGCCACGTAAATAGGCCACATTTTAAAAGACGTCTTTTGTGCAATACACTTCAAGGGCCGGAGCATCCAGGTAAGTGTGCTTTGTCAAGCTCTGATCATTCACCAAACTATTTCGAGAAGACTCTATTTTCGCGGATGTTTTCCACAGATTACCAGTTCGTCTTATGAACCCAGTCCCTCTAGTTGTTACAAAGCACAGCAAGGCAAGTTTTTAAAAAGGGACTCTTTTTCGCTCGATTCTCACGCAAACCTCAAGCACTTCCCCCGATTTCATATCAATTGTGTTATCTTACTGATCATGATTGGGAACTGATTATATTTGGCGTGTTTGTTAATTTTTTAGACCCTGTTTGATATTTCTTAAATAATGTTGGACAATTTTAGGGATTGTTTTTTCTGTATAAAGGTATTCCATTTAGAACTGTAGGAGAACAATACACGAACAAAGACGTGTTGGGATCACTGGACACTAGACAGAACGAGCGCGCCCGCATGATTGAGAAATTTAGTTTATATTCATTTTGAAGTCCTGCGAATGCTCCTCAAAGCCCTAACGACACTTCATCGTTTACGCACGCTCCCAATAAACCTTTCAATAAGAGGAACTGCCCAATGGGCAGGACTTCGAGCTCTAGGTCTGGATTCGAACCCTAGCCACTTGACAGCAGCATCATCTATTTTAACAGGCAAGCTAGATTCCTTGACCAGCCTGTCATCCCGGGAAATTCGAGCTCGGACGGGCCAGCTTTGGCTAATGGCTCACCCGTGAGGTTGTGTTGCGTTTGGAAAGTTTTCATATCCATGGTGACCGCGAAGGCCTATTAAATTTCGAAAAAATGTCATCAACGAAAAGACGTTATTTTCGCGAAGGCGACTGCATAAAACGAGACTTGGAGAGCAAGATCGTGTAGTTTTTCGCAGAGGGTATAGCTCTTGAGTAGGAGCTGGATATTTCGTGCCACCCTTTCGAGTGCACTCGAGAAAGATAAAGTTTCCTCCTTTTTCTGAACCTTGGACCGAGTCGTGTACACTCGGCAATAACCTTGTGTGTCAATGGCGCTCTGCCGAGGAATTTTTATCAGTTTCAAAGTTGGCCAAAACCCTTGATAATCTCGAGTACGTTGTCTCCGTTCTTTCTGAGACAAGGAACAGACCCAGACAGGATCAGATGTGACGGTAATACAAGCCCTCACGTTGGTATGTGGGCTAAGCTAAGTCGGCCTATACGCACTTCAAATCAAAGCATACTAGATTTCCTCCCGCATTTTTCTGCACAAGAATTACCCAAAGGAGAGATATTTTATAACGTGTTTAAAAACTTTAATGGACAATATAAAATCACTGTTTCAATTCTTTGAAAATGCATCCTGGAATAAACGTTATAAATTTCAAAGGTTAGAGTGATTTAAAACAAATACAATCCATACACAATGCTTTGAAAGGTTACGGGGAAGTTTTCAAAACCACAAAGACAGTTAATTACATGTCATTTTTCTCTCCTTAGTTGGGATGACATTTGCCAGCGTCTTCTTCAACTCTCGCGAGTATTGTAAATTCTCGTATAAATGCACAAGTGAAATCAGTTTCAGCAAGGCTAAATCGAAGGGGATTTTATTCACCTCCCTTCTCTGGAGATAAGTTTAACACGAGCAATATTCGTAATTGTGAACACACTGTGCCTGTACGGGTATACGTGGAAAAGGTGAAGACCATAATGATAATAACCGTAGGAAACAGCTACCGTCAACCGAATACTGCCGTCACGCACGTGGTTCTGGCTTTTACAAAAAGCGAACAAGCAAACTTAAAGAGAGTGGCAGCTCACACAAAGCTGCTAATTGGGAGTTCCGCCGAACAAAAACACATCATTTAAACCATAATGCCCTCCAACGTAAACTACATGTGGCTTGTTCTGAGCCGTTTTTAAAAAGGGGGACTGTTGATGAAATATATGTATATGCAAAACAGAATAAATACAATGTACAGCTTTGAAAACCGTCGCATGTCGATCAGGTTTCAGCTCAACGACTCGCACGTATTTTCTCGTGGTCGGTTAGCATGTTGCTTTTTTTTAAAAAAAAGTCTTGAGTTACTAATTCTAAATGATACACTGCTATTCAAACGACGTCACCACTTCCTCTGGAAAGCACTGAACGGAAGTTTGAAACCTTGGAAAGAATTGCAGTTCGCGTGCGGGGTCCAGTTTGCTTTTGTGCACAAAAGCAACGCAAGGAAAAACTTTATCATATCAAAATTAATGTTACGTTTTGTTCAGGAAATCCAAGACCTTGTCCATTCACTTACACAAGCACTCAAAAGAAACAGTTCAAACCCGACAAATATTCACGCATTTTTTGCTAGCGACTTTCATGACAACAGAGGGCGCTATTAGGGAGCAGTCGGTGACGTCATTGGATCAAATACCGTACTTACTGTCAGAATGAGAAAGTAAACCGAATGGAAATCAAATAAAGTAACTCAATGTTCTAAAACTTGTGTTCATAAACAACACACTGCATAAATTACTATTCACTAAAATAGGAAATTAAATCAAAAATAAAGAATTAAAACTGAATAACATTGAAAAAACAACCATTAAAATCAAACTACAAATATTACTTTGTAGCGTATTCGACTTTCAGTTCTAAGAAAATAAATATAATTTGTCCCAGGTTTTTTCATCTCAAAGTAAACCGCACTAATCGCAGTAAGTGGGTGTCAAATGGAATTTCACGGATGCTTCGAAAATTTCGATTACAAACAGATGTCAAGGCTCTCACATGATTTGAAGTGACACTTTTGAAAAGGCGCGAGCCGACCAAATAAGAGATATTCCAACAATTGTCTTCATATTGAATGTTCCAGCAGATAAACACAGAGATAGATTAAATGAATTCGATTACAATACACATAATGTTTCGGACAACACCAAATTTTGAGACCAAAATATTTATTCGAATTAAAGAAAAAAGGCCCAGCGATTGGACTTCCAAATTTAGGCCGCCATGGAAACTTCATCCTGCTAATTTCACTGCCAGATCCCTGGAGCTTTAACCCCAAACGCAAACAAAAAGCCAGAGAAATGTCAAACTAAGAACTTACACGATACAAAATAAGTGCAATCATTCTGAAATTGTATACACCGTCAAAAATTCTATCTAGCCGGGATAAATTTCAAGAAATAATTCACTGTCTGGAGAAATTAGCGGGCTCTAAAGAATGGACAAATAAGCCCTTTACGGCGTTTCTACTCTACCCACAGACATCGTGCCCGATTCCGCAGCCATAGTTGCTGATGGAAAAAGTTCCGAGCGACCTGGAATAGACTAGTGATGCGCCTCATCTTATGAAAAGAGAACAGTTGGCCACCGAACAGCGACATCGATTGAATTGGCCATATCAGAACAACGGCATCCTGTACGGGCGACCACAATTCGCAGACGACTGCTTAATTAAGAGGAGGTTAGAGGCAATAATGGACATTGTTATTTAAACTTATTAATCATACCATACAATTGTGTGACTGGTGTCAACTATCCGTTTAAAAAGAAACAGTAAGAATTTCTTTGATGTTAAATTCTTTTAACAATGTTAACCATCTACAAATCATGTAGAAAGTCGCCAATCACACGTGTAGTTGTAAAGTGTAACCACAAAAAACCGACTGACAAATGCTATTGAATCCAGAAGTCTTCACAATAAACCAGGTTAAGAATTTCAAATGTCAATCCAACGACTTCAGAGTCAAGATTTCCAAACCACATGATTTCTTTGTAAAACTGTGAATGCAGAAAATGTCCAAGACTAAGTGGAAATTAGTTCAGCCCTGTGACCAAAAAACCTCACTCAGCATAAAAAAATAAACAAAGTAAGAAAAGTGTCCGAGTACGTCTCATTTCTTTACAATTCCTGATTCCAGGTTTGCCTTCAAATCTTCTAAAAAACTATATCATTTTTATCTCCAGTCAAACTACCGAGAGCTGCCGAAGGAGCACTGATTATCAGTTAGACCCACAGAGGATTTCCATACAACTTTAAACTCGTTTCTTCCTAAGAAAAGATTCTTTCCTTGTTCAATGGCTGTAGCTGTGCACAAAGAACACGTAGTACCAGGAAAGTATTTTCTTGAATCAGCATTTTGGGGGGACTGATAAAGCTTTAATAAATAGTCTCAAGTTGCTTAGCAACCTGTTTATAAAATTCAGCAACCTGTAGGTATCACTAAGCAACCAGTTTTGTTCAGCAGCTCGATGTAATTGACCTCTTGCGAACTTTATTTACAACTAGTCATTCTGTGGCGACTCACTGTTTCAAGGCATGTGAAAAAGTCCACCCTTACCAGGCTTAGGGATGTCATGGAGAAAGGGTTGTCATGGTTTCATCACCTTGTACTCAGAGTAGCACAACCACCCTCGTTTTCTAAGGTGAGCGATCCTGTCATGTATTCGTAGGGACATGTCTGGAGTTACAATACCCCAACACATAAATTGAAACGTTTGGCTGAAAATTGGTACTGGCGCACTGTGCCCGCTGGAATTCCCAGGTACCATAGTACACGCCTCATACTTTACATTTTCAACTATCGCCTTACAAGGCACTGTAACCGAATCCTTGCCAATCAGCAAAACTGTTGTACACAACAGACTGTCACGCCAGGGGTAAGTAACAAAGACAGTGTTCCATAAAAAAGGCTAAGAGAGTGCGACTCATCCATCTAGCCTGAAGGGAAATTTCAAATACTGTAACATCTCCTCCTTAGGCAAACAGAAAAGATGTTCATGCTAATCCAGCAGGTCTTTTGCTAACAAAATAACCTCATCCAGACTTGTAGGCTCAAGACTGCCCACAGGGTTTTGCAGTTAGGAACACCAACTGTGAGCAGTGCTTTTATGGCTTGTCTGAAACTTGCCTCTAAATTTGAACTCAACACCGAATGATGTGATGTGGTACTCCAGTAGTGAATCGCGGTGTGGTCATTATAACATGGGAAAGCAATATGTGCTTATGGTGCAAAGGGATGATTTTAGTCAGAGAAGGGTATGATTTTCTACTCAGACATACCCGTTTGCCATTGGCAATAAAACTAATTTTGAGTCAAATGTGCAGGTGTGTGTAAGATGAGAGGTATTGAATCTTTCAGCTTGCTTGTGAGAACAATTACAGTTTGTTCTGGAAGATCTTGAACATCTAGGCGGTGTCTGAGTTAAGGATCTTTGGCTTCAAGACGAGGCTCCCGCTTGATCCACACCTCCTCAGAAAGGCCAGGGTCCAGGGATCTCTTCTTGCTGAGGCTGGAGTCGCTCTCCACCTTGATCAAGTTCATCTCAGGAACCAAGGCGCGGTCCGGGGTCAGCAGGTGAGTTCGCTGCGAGCGCTCCGATTTGAATGGACTGAAAGCACCAGGAGAGCGTAGTTCCAGCATGGGCTGGGGGGGGCCACTGGATGGGGAGGGGCCCGTGTCAAAGTAGTAATCCCGGAACCGGCGCATGGATTCCTCCTTGACAGGGTCCTCAGCCATTGGTGGAAACTGGAAAACAGTGCCGATGGCACTGGACTTCTGGGTTGGGGTGCAGGGCAGGGATCGGGAGGATGGCTTGTGCTCCAGGCTGACCTTAGGTGACTTGGGCTCCACTTCCTGGTAGGAAGGTGGGCGGGTGTTGTCACGGTTCCACTTCCGCTTGACACGGAGCTTGATGGGGATGCCCTTCTCCTTGTCTTGGCGTTCAGTGTTCTCCCTCTCTGCTTCTGTGGGGCTTCTAGAACGCTCCTCTCTGCTCTCCATCCTGTTGCCTTCGACATCCATCCTCGTCCTCTCCGGAGAGGGCCTTGGGGACCGCATCCCAGCGTACCTCCGATCTGGAGATGGTTTCCGAGGTGATGAATGCTGCCATGGACGCATCGGCTCAGGTACTTTCATGGTGTTCTCGTCATGTGGTGGGGAAGTGACTGTAGATGGCGCTTTGATCTCGGGTGGTGATGAGATGGTGGCAGGTTTCTGATTGGCTGCAGCGGCCTGAGCTTGCCTCCGCTCGTTCATTCTCCTCTGGTATAGTTCAGATTGAAGTGGCCGATCTGGAATGCGAATCACGTTCTCATGCTGCTGCTGTGGCTCTGGAGGGGATAAATTCAACCCACTTATCCGCACCTCATTTTCATTGTGAGTCCTCCATATAGTTCCGGGGGATTGGGCCATGGCGAACGGCCGGGGCAGGGTCTGTGCTCGCAGCTTTGTGACCCGATCATGTTCCAGTCTAGACTGTGCTTCCTGGTGGGCCCGAATCTCGGCTGGGGAGTAAGTGAACCGCGGGCACGGTGCGGTGAAGATCGGGCTCATGGCAGATGCTGGACTGGGCATCGGGGAAAGATAGCAAGGGCTCGCCGGTAGCGAGTGGGAGTAAAAAGTGGGCCTCAGAGGCTGGTAGCTTGGGGAGAAGGGAGGAGGCCTGACATCGATGGGGACCACCGGGGGTTGTCCATCACCCCGCAACCCTGGCTGGTTGATCCCCAGTGGCTCGGCATCCCCGAGGCTGTGAGAACGTTGCCGAACGGGCGGTGGCGGCCGCTTGGTCCCTTCCAATGATTCCTGAGAGTCACTGGAGGACTCGCTGAGGGTCCGCACTCCCGGCCGCTCCTGCGACTTCTTGTTGTTGTCATCGATGAGGATGACATCGTCAGGGGAACTAGGATTGTTGGATGCTGGGGCCGATTGCGGAGGGACATACTGCGGGATGTACTTCATGTCGGTGCCTGGGTAGTTCACCAAGATCAACTTGCTAAAGTTGAACTTATAGGTGAAACGTTTCCCTTTGGTTTTGTGAAGGATCCTCTTGTTATAGTAGTATCTATTGTAAGAAGGAAAACAAAATGGAGACCAACGTGTTACATTATACGTACGTGGCCTTGTTTGGCTCTTGGTCATCGCCATTGTTTAGTCAGTTTTAGTCGTTTACGAAAATTGAGCAACAATTTTTATAAAAGAGAATATAGAGACATTTTAATTTGCATCAAAGATTTCTAGTTTTATTCAGGCTTTAGCTTGACATTGTTTATTCAGTTTGAAATGCTCAGCGACTCCAGCTTAGTTTTTTGAAGAATTCAAATCTCCCGCTGTCAAGTTCCTTTCCTGTGATTTACACATGCATGAAAAAGCCTGAAGTCACACGACTGAAAATTCAATGCCATACAATCGACAACCAGTTTATATCTGAATCTCTACAGAAGATCCTAATACCTGGCAGACTGGATATCTAAGGAAGTTCACTATTTTGTACAGGGATTCGAACCCAGGACAGCTCCTCGATGGGCTGAAACCTCACCTGAGCGCTCTGCTAAGCTTGTCATAGTTCATGTGTGGCTTGCACTTGCGGACGCCCCAGACCCGGGCCAGCTCGTCCGGGTCCTTGATCAGAAACTCGCCGTAGTCACCCTGCCAGGCAATCACGTCCCGGAACTCTTCCTTCTGCAGCAGCTCCAGGATGAAGTGCCAGAGTTGGATCTGTCTGGATCCAGGGCTGCTCTCCGGCTTGTAGGCCCAGTCGGGAAACGCCATCGATCCTGGAAGGCAACAACCCCGTGTAGAAGAGGGGAAAAAAGCAACAAGGAATCCTCAAACTCTGCTGAACTACAAAGTAGCAGTGCCACACATGCAGCTTCATCTGTAAACTGTGGTTCTACAGGTAGAAAGAACTGGTTAACGCTGGCTTTTTCTGTCAGAAAAGAATGCTGCGATATACCAGAACTTTTCCCAGAAGTCCAAGTTTTGAAAAGTAACCAACTGATAATACAAAAATGAAAGTTCCAAACGAATAATCAGCAGCCACAGTTCACAGAAATGAATATATTATAAAATACATGGGAATGCACGCTCACAGCCGGTAGACAAAATAAAAGTGAAAAACATATAATTATGTGTGTTGTCAAACGGCCGGTGAGCAGCCATAACTCAAACTTCCTGCATCCATTGCAGTATGCAAAATTCATAATAAATTGGAAATGTTACACCCTGGTACAAAGTGACCAATGTAAAAACCAGTACCAAAACCATTTAGGCATGGCCTGGCTTCAGTAATTGGTTAAAGGAACCAGGAAATGAGTTTTCCTTGGAATCACTTTTTGTGTATCTCTGTACTCTTCTTCCATGTATGAAGACTGTTTGACATCTTTTTTGAGTTACGTGAGCTGAACGGTGCACTTTTTCAAACATTAAAAATCGACCAAGCATTTCTGGACAAGTGGGGGGGCTTTTGCTTTGATGTAAATCCAGGAAGACAAGGTTCAGGTTGCATGTTTTCATGTTCAAATTGTGAATCCCAAATTTGCAATCTGGGAACATTTCACCTGTAAGAAGGATTTTTGCTGGATTATTGCTATATACTTACACAGCACTAAATTGCCAAAAGAAAATAAAATCTGCCATAGCAGTGGTTAAAAATCTAGAAATTTTCTGTGCACAATTCAGGCCAACACTAAGATTCAGTGCCTTGGATGACATCATAGTTCTGCTCATGAATATGCAACTATCGATTAGCATGAAACAAAAAAATGCATAAAAATATGGGTTGAAATTGCAAAACAAAATTAAAAAATAAAATTATAAAAATATTTCTATTTCCTGGTTCCTTTAAGGCAACAAGGTACAAAGGATCCAGTTTGTACAGAGCCCATTGGAACATTTGCCTAGCAAATTAAGCCGAGCAAACATTGCAAAAGCACCCTGCATAGGTTCATGAATATGAATATCAAAACCCTTTGACCTGTCAGTATGAAATGCAGCTGCAGGGTTGTCTCACCTGCATTGTAGACAGGGGTGGCCGGGCTGGGTATGTTGGCACTAGGGGAGGGCTCCGCCTGCTGGTGTACAGGGGTGGTAGGTGGGTCGAGGCAACGGTAGTGCATCATTTTAGACCCACGCTGTACCCTACACGGCGCCCAGGGCTGGGAGCGCTGGGATGAAGACGAAAACTACAGCAAAAACAGAGGCAAAATTCCCTGCATTAAATGCATGTACGTAGTGCCCTCAGTACATTCTAAAATGTAAGACAACACACTAGGTTCAAATGGAGACAAGCCGTGGATATACATGTACATGTAGATCTCCATCATCGGGCCGACATCCTGCTTTTCTACATTTCAAACCAATGTAACCAAACTGAGGCTGGAAGGGGAATAGTCTGTTCCCTTTATCAATATGTGAAGTTGCATACTGTATACATAATAATGGTGATATCATACACGGCACTCATCAACCGATCAAAACAGTACAAAAAGCACACACCAACAATGTCTTGAAGAAATTGCTGTTCTCCAAACAAGCTAATTAACGTCAAAACCAATAGAAAGAGGAACTTAATCCAAGAAAATGTGATAAGTATACTGTTCACAAAGCTATAGAGACACTAGGGTGAATGACATCAGAGTTTGGCTCATGAATATGAAAATCTTTATTAGCATAAAACTACAAAATGTTGAAGTTTGTCCATTTTACTTCCAACTAAGAGGTGAAAAGTTGTCAGACCATGTAAATAAATCTGTGCTTCATCTATTCAAATCATAACAATCCTATTAGTGTTTTTTAATGCAGAATTTATACAAAGGACCGGTCTTTCATCATCCTACAAGACGCTGGCAGAATCCCATTTGTACTGGAACTTTCGAGTAGTATCAAGCCCCGTGTAAAGTAGTTCTGACTGGCAGGGCTCCGCATTCTACAGAATTCTCGTCAAACACCTGGTCGAATTAAACGGTCGCGAAGGCTCGGAATTAATTTCCAAAGCCTTTGTTTTTCCTTAGTTTGTTCACGTCCAAATGATTTGCATGACAAAGACAAACAAGATTTTGAACCATGATTCCAGAATGCTGATCATCATATGCCACTGTCAAGCGCACGCCTCCAAAGATATGAACCACCTATTAAACAAAACCACAAACCAGAAACCAATCAAAGAATGAATCCTTGGGATTTTGAAATAAATAAAAATAATAGGCAAAAATACTCCATTAAAACAACAGCAACCTTGTAAAATGACTGGAAGAACTGTGGGGCCTCCCTTACATTGTGAAATGAAAGGTTTCTATTCCTGGGAGGAATAAAAACGAAAAACTTTGCATCCACTTGTCAAGGACATCTATAGCAACGGGAGAGTTCCGATGTGCAGAATTGCTTAATTGTAAGGGAAAAAAGCATCTGAGCAAGGGTTAAGTGAAGAACAAAAGCTTTTATATGCTGAGTGTATGACATGCTCACACGGTTAAGACAAGCTGGATCCAATGTCAAATTTATCATCAAACTCAACCAAGTTGCCCATTCCTTGCACTTCAGGCTCGGGACTAAAGAAACTCAAAATCCTTGTGAATAAATTACCATTTGATTAATAAATACTTCTTGAGCATAAGAAGAGGGTAAAGAGCTATGTTTGGAAAGAATGAGACCTCCAGCATCCTTACAGGCAGAATTTGAAATAATGAGGATAATGGACAATCCGGTGAGTCTTGCGAAAAACAAGCTTAACGAAGCACTGCATCCTTGAATGTTATTCCTGGAACATCATTAGGGGGTTCCATGACCAATGGTACGCTGACAAGAAAAAGGCCTGGCAATAGAAGCAATGAGACAGGCAGTGGGAAGGTTCGTCAAAAGGCTACATTCTCTGATTATCAAAAGTAACCTCCAAGGCACACGCCCACGTTGTTGAAGTGAGGCTGAAATATAATGGCAAGTCAAGCTTGGGAAAACGCTTTGAGGGAGGGCAGGGCCCAACGCGGCCGTTTCACAATAGTGCGCCACAAAGAGTTCGCAACGCGTTGGCCAATCCAATTTGTCGACCATTTCCAAACGCGCATTGGGTTGACACATTTCGCGCATTGTGATTGACCAACGCGTTTCGAACTCTTGGAGGCGCACTATTGTGAAAAGTCCGTATTGCACGGGGCTCTGGCACATGATTTTCGTAGACAATGCCTTCGTTCATGCTGCTGTTCCACTGACAGCTAGTAATTGCAACCAAGAGCACATCTTTCTGTGCATACCCTGTCACAAAGGGTCTCCTACATGTGATAGCGTTAAAAAATTCAAAATTTACGTAGACAATGTTTCTGCTGTACACGTAAATGGTCCAAGCTACACGTACAAGACAGCTTAATAAAATCTCGTATGTATTCACAAAGGGACACACTTTGAAGAAATATGGTTTTCCAGATAAATGCTTGACAGGTTTGTCCTATTTTGAAACTGCGAAACCTACATGTACTACTTTCAAACAAATTTATACAGAACATAAACATTCAAATGATTCCTTGAGAGGTAAACCTGTGAATCCAGTACTTAGAATGAACACAGTGGTTAATTAACATTAATCCAATGTCTCAGTCTCCCTATTCAACAACGTGCAACTTGACCATGTATAAACTTTTGATAATGCCCGCTGAGAAGTGATAATGCCCGCTGAGAAGTGATAATGCCCCCAGCGTATATCACGCACTGGCGACTGGATACGAGCCAATTTAATCGATTCTGATAGGCCAAGAAGTATGTGTGTACGCGGCTCGTCACGCGTGCGCCAAGTTCAGACAGGAGATTCTTTTGGACAACTATAAAATAAAATGTTCGGGAAAATAAAAGTAAAATTTCTACCACAGAATTGTTGGAAAATCTGTCATATATCGACTTCTTTTGACTATTGACGTTAACTATTGTAAAAGTTGTATATATTTTCAACGGCGAAGAATAATCCATTTGAAAAGTTAAATACTGCCAGCGAAAAGGGAAAACACTATGAGAACTGCACCTTGTTCTTTTGTAATAAATTTAAGCCTTCCACTCAGGTCCAATGTACCAGGGACACACACCACAGGCATTTGATACTTAAATTAACTTCCAAAGAAGCAAACACAAACTCTTGTTGAAAACAAACGTGTAACTAATCCGCAATAGGAATCGAAGTACTTCAAAAACGCCTCGTCGATTTCAAAGTCCTTTTGTTCACTACTCACCAACGCGAAAGCATCAGAGTTGACTGACCCTCTCGACAACGTGATAAGACAACATGAGGATAACGTTACAAGAGATCTGGATGATGCGGCAAGTGGGAGTTCAGGGGAAAAAATCCACGCCACTAGTTCCAGTCTGCCGTCTGAGCAGTCCCACGTTATGTCAATAATTCATTATACCCACGCAGTTCATCAGCTATCTTCGGTAGCAAGCAGGATGGCCGTGACAGCACGCACGCACGTAGGACGGGAGATCCATACGCGCATTTTGCAGGCGCTTGGCGTGGACGAAGCCAGTTGCCAAGGTAACCAGTGAGGAAATGAAGAGTTGATATTTCCGCTGTCAGAGCTGATGCGAGGATGTTTAAGAGCGGATGGCTTCGATAAGAGTGCGGGTTAATGCTTTCGGTGGGGCTCTTAGTGATATTATATAGGTAGAGGAGTTTTCAATCAATTAGCCGTACTCTCTCGTGTGCCGCCCGATCCCCCATCAACGGCTAAACGCTATTGTTGGATTCATTCATGGTCGTCTCGTGCGGCGCGGTGCATGTTTCAACTCAATATCCAATTATCATGACGTCATGGCGGGAGAGAGCAACGTGTGCCTTGAGTGGATATCAACGGTAATCACGTCACGATGACGTCTGTACGGGCCGAGTTCTGACGTCGCGGATGAGAAAATCCGTTTCATGAGTTCCGACCTTTCATGAACCAGTGGTCTCTGAACGGCGAGGCAGGCGTAGCATGAGAAATCCGATGCCTACTTTCTGTCTATTTGGGGAAAACTCTGCCAGGCTGGAAAAACAGACAAGCGTAGTCGATCCAAATACGGATCAGTCCGTTTTTGCTCCGTTTATATACCTTCACTGTTGCATACCGGTATGACCCTTCAGTAAACCAGACACAATGAAAAGAAAAAATAAATTTGGCCCTCATTACTTTCTAAAACGTTTATTGCCAAAGCTCGTCTGAACTGTGAGAGGACACTCATGTAAACTCTAAATTTCATTAAAATCATCTCACACCTGTTTACAACAGAAGTTTTACGTGGATGACTATGGGGTTTTGATTTATCAAGAGCCATCCTTAAAATAAAGGTTTTAGAATGTAACACGGCCTTTTCACCTCCGATGCGCGCGTTGAATTTCCATGTTCCACGGTAAATCCGTACGTTCAATGTATTTTTAAAATTTCGGCACAATCAGTTTGAGCTCAACGTGGCACCGTCGTGACCCAATTATTTCGTGGCGTTTATTATAGGCACTTAGTTTCGGGTAGCACTTCCTTAAACGACTTCTTCAAGAATGTGAGCCGTATGCTTAACCAGGGGAACGCAAAACGTCAGAGGTTGAATTTTTGACGACACGAAAGAAAACCGAATTCATGCTGATCTGCTCCTGGCAAAGACGAGTTTCAACGGGCAGCTTGATATTGTGAAACGTGAACTGGCTTTGTGCCAAGCTATGCTCATCGGTCATAATACCATGCGAAGCAAGAGTTGATCAAGAACTGGCTCTCAGCTGATGTTGCACAGCTTTGTGCAAATACAAAGTAACTTTGCCTACTTAGTAGCTCCATCAAACTGCATGGACCTGCAGCAAATGGTGTTTTACAGACTTACCCAACATGACGCCATTCTTGCAGTTACACCATATGCACGCGCGCGTTCGTCAACTTAACATGCACGCATTTCGGCAAGTCATGACATCCTATTGGTTTATAAAGAGGCATGTAAAGTGCGCATACAAAATCCGATACGCACGAACACAGGTACTTCCAAGTGCACTGCATTACACGCTACTGCAGTTTAAAGTACTTTCGAAAAACATGTTGGAATCAAATTGGACTCAATTCCGGCACACAGCTGTGATGTTGTTTAAATATGGACTCCAGAAATGTGAAACTATTTGTGGATTTTGTGAAAAGAGAAGCCTTGGGTCTCCTGTTTTGCTCTCCCGCGCACTGACAACAATATC